TACCTCTTTTGATCAGTGAATGCCTGACCATGTAATCACTGCGTATTTGGGATACTGCCGTGAGTAGGTATTGTGGAGGTTTGTTAAGTAACCCAGCGCGCTGTAAAACTCCAGTATAAAGTGTTTTTCCATAGTCATATTGGATCACACCTCCAGATACTGCAGTTGGCATACTAACAATTACATCACCAAGGCGAATATCTGTGTTCTTGCTGGGCACCCCACCTCCGATGCCTACCATTAATCCAAATCGAAGGGAAGGAAATGTCGGTAACATATGAGCCAATACGACTGCAGCAGAAGTGGTACCGTAAACACCGGACGGGAGGCAGGCAATCACCACATTGTGGCGGGTAATGTTCCCAAGTGTGTAGACGTTGTGATCGGTTTCCGGCTGGGGTAGGGAAGAATGAACGTTATCGAGCATGCTTTTGGCCGCTGTCATTTCCAGTGGCAGGGCACAGATCCATGCTACGGTATAGTCGTCGTGTCTGAAACCCATGCTTGTATGCTAACTTTGGTCCCCCCCTAAAAATAAAAAAAAAAAAAAAGAAAAAGCAAAGGACATATATGTAAAAACCCCTTGGTTCGGGGTCATCTGGCGAAAGAATATGTTGGACATTCAGGCTGACAAGGTGGGAATAGTTTCGTTAGTACTTTAGTACGACTACGACTACGACTACGAAGAGGGGTAGTCTAGAGCACGTGGCAGTTGCGTCCCTACATTTATAGAAACAATACCTTCTTTTGGATACAGCCTTGTTTCCGTGTTTCCCTTCTTTGCCTTCTTTATTCATTCCAGAGCATGTACATATTTAATTTACTAGACATAAAAGGATAAATAATATCATTGTAGTAAGGGACTCCTTCTTCTGTTAAGGATAGAAATGTGATGATGTATAGATAGATAGAAGTTGAGGGATAGGAGATGAGGGTTGGCCGGGGCCGTTTCGATGAAGTCCCTTACTACAACAATGATATTATTATAACCATTTATGGTTTCGTTCAACATAGTCTTTACTAGTATCACCTTTCACCCCCATCAACACAATTTAATCGGAAGCATGTTTATCCTCGCTCTCGCCGCCGCTAGTAGCCATTTCAACCTTCTCGGACTCGGTGGCATGGTGGTCGGTGGTAGTCAAGCCAAGCTCGATCTGCATCTGGCTGATCTGCTCAATGCTGAGCTTCGGCAGCTGCTGAGCGACCTGGAAGGGCCACTTCTTCTCAATGTGAGCCTTGGCGAAGATAATGTCAATCTCTTCTAAATCACGACCGGCGGTCTCAACGTAGAAGAAATAGGTGAAGGGAATAGCGGTGAAGTTAATTAGGGCGAAGAATAGATAGATACCCCAGGGGCTCTGGTTTGCAAAAACAGGGGTAAACATAACCACAGCGAAGTTGTTGATCCAGTTGGTACAAGTGGAAGCGGAAGCTGCCATGGTACGCGTGCGAAGAGGATTGATTTCCGGAGGGTAGATCCAAGGCAGAGGCAATGTAGTGAACGCAAAGAAGCAGATAAACAGGAAGATACCAACGGCGGCACCCTTGGCATTTTCGGTGGTCCCATGAATTAGACATCCCATGGTAATAATAAATGAAAGACCTTGGCCAAGGTAACCGATCAGGAATAGGTTACGGCGACCGACCTTCTCAACCATAAAGAAGGAAGGAATGGTGGCAAGGGCGTAGACAGTGGAGAAAACACCACCGATAATCAAAGCCATCTTGTGGTCCATATGAAGGTTGTTCTCGAAAAGGACGGTAGAGTAGTAGATGGCTGCATTACAACCAGTAAATTGCTGGAAGAACTGTCCCGAACAGCCTATCATCATGCGCTGGAACTCCTGGGTTTTGCCGAAAGTGAAGAGGGTCTTCCAGCTGCTAGTGGACTCCTGGGCCTCGGCAGCTTTCATATCAGCTTTCATCAGGTTGAAATCGGAAAGGACGTCCTCCGCATCCACAGAGCTGTCATTGAGCTGGGCCATAACTTGGAGAGCCTCATCATCCTTGCCCCGCATAATAAACCAACGAGGAGACTCGGGCAGCATAAGAGCACCGATAATAACAAAGATAGCGAACAGGATCTGGAAGGCGACAGGAAATCGCCACTGGACGGAGGATTCGGTATAGGAAAGACCGAAATCAATCCAGTAAGCAATGAAGGTACCAACAGCAATAATAGCACCCTCAAAGCAGACGAGGAAGCCACGGTTGTGGGCCTTAGAACACTCGGACTGCCAGACGGGGATAGTGGCAGTGTCCATACCGTTTCCAAGACCAGAGATTACCCGACCAATCACGAATTGACCCAGACCCCAGGAATGGCCAAAGGCAGCAGTAGAGAGAACGGTACCGATCACCATAAGAACACCACCAGTGACCAGCAAAGGGGTACGGCCAGTGCGCTGACCAAAGCAGAGAGTGAAGATAGCCCCGAAGAAACAGCCCAGTTCGTAGCAGGAGTTGATGGCACCCTGTAGGACGGAGACATGCTCGGGGTCGTTGCCAGGGAGTTTGTTATCGAGGACAGGGAACTCGCCAACGAAAGATGTCCCTTGCATAATACCGGACATCAGACCCTGATCATAACCGAATAGGGAGAAACCGACGACGGAGGTGAAGGTGATGGCCCAGCGGAGCTTCCTGCCCCGGAGGCCGGAGTTGGTTGTCCACATATTGAGATGTTGTTTGCCTCGATCTCACTATACGAGGGAAGACAAGGAGATACTGAAATCATGAAGAAAGAATGGGCATGGACTCCGGGGGGGGGGGGTTGGGCGACGTTCTTGTACCCTTTTCAGAGGTATGCATGGGTCTGCTTCTTGCATCTATGGGCATCAGGGACCCCAGATCCACTGGGCTCCATCGGGTAGTTCCGCCAAGGGACAGATAGATTAAACATGACGGCGGCTTGGGTACCATAAGGCAAGTGTTGCGACCTGCCGTGGGGGCCGAGGGCCTTGTGAGTGGACTAGAGGCATAGGGAGAGGCAAGTCTCGCGGGCTGCCGAGAGGGCCGAACGCCCCATTCATGCGAATCGAGTCAGAGCACTAGCGGCTTAACGTTTTTTCAGTTTCGCTCGCCGAGGATTGGCGCCGTTGCCAAAGTCGAAGAAGCTCCCGCGCCCACCGTTCGCGGATGGTAGGGTTAGGGTTGGAAATCCGGGGGAGGGGGAAGAGATTCGGGGTAGCCGATGGGAAGTTAGGTTTGTTCTGCTCTGTTCTGTTCTACTTTTACATAGATGGACTCAAAGAAATCACCCTAATGGATTTATTTGAATTAATCGAATTAACTAACGATAACGATTAGTCACAACTCACATGGATCATATTAATCGAATAGAATACTAAAACTGCCTGGGATTATTGTCCACCGCAAGAGGAATCTCGCCTGACCCTCCATGGCCACCACAAGGGAAAACGGGGGAAACAGGGAGAGGCCCGATCGTCCAAGGCGGCTAAAAAAAAACTCATTCCTTTGTCCTAGGTGAACCACTGAGAGTGTCTCATCCCCCATGGTAGTTAAGAGACCCTTGGGGCCGGGGTCGAATCAAACTGTTGAATATCTATCACACATGAAACTCGCCTCAGTTGCCCTTTTTATTCCCCCATATTTTCCCCAGCCTTGTTGACGCTGGCCCCGATGCCGACGACTGGATATGTTGCACTTCCAGGTTCTGCTTCATCTCTGGCCACTCCCGTTCTCCAGATAATCTCCGATGTTGGGGATGAGCTCCGCACTAACGCTACGTCACCGATCACAATGACCTTTCGGACTCCGCCAAGGACGCCTTGGCCCACCTGAATAAATAGGTACTCTGTAGATCCCTGACTCGTCTGGAGGAGGGCCAAAGGATCTCTCCCCATGCTCCCCCCCGAGTGCAACGTGTCGTCGGTCAGGCGAAGCGAACTACACGAAGTAACATCAAGACTTTAATTTTCGTTTTTCTCATCTGCCCCGTGGAACCAGCTAGGGGCCGAGCGCAGCCCTACCTGAATGCTATAGATAGTCCTAGTTCTCTGATCCATTGATCGGATGTTTTACTCCGTAGATGCCTGGTGGGTCTAGTCGCCGAGGCGGGGAAAACGAAGGCGGGGTCAAGGGCAGCGGCCCGCACGTTTAAATTGCGCCACCCGTATTGCCGACCCAAAGAGACGACACAAGACTTTTCCAAGAGGACCAAGACCTTTCCAAGACTTTTCCAAGGCGTCTTAGCCATGACTGCTAATCCAACGTCTCAGGCATCATTATATACTGAAGATTGTTCCTAGAAATTATCTTGGATTGCGCACCTTGCGACGTATTTCATTCCTCAGTCGGAAAAAAAAAAAGTTCCATTAGTCCCAAGAACCCCAGCACCAAAAACCCCACCGATAATTCGATTCCAATCAATCTTATCGCTTGGGTTATGTAAGCACCAGGAGCTCCACCTCGGAGCTTGGTTGAGAGTCCGTGCACAACGAAATGGAGCCGGAAAACCTCCTTGAAGTATAGAAGTCATAAATAGTAAATAGTAGCTGAACACTTGCCGGTTGAGGTTGAGAAGAGATTACTATAGAGCTCTTCCGTACTATTACCAAGAACCTTTTTTTATGAGCTTCAACAGAACTTGAATCCCAAATCAAGACACTGTCCTCCTTATCCCCTAATCCCTTAATCCCTAGTCACCCGGAATACCCTGGTGTTGGTAGTAGTAATACATAGTAGTAATACTACGCGTGGCTCTTTAGCATTCTGTTGATAGACCTATTGCTGCACTTAATATTGGCCCCATGTTTCTTTTTAGACGATCTGCTAAATGACCGTCACCCGATGAATTCTCTAGTAGGGAAGTCAACAAAAGAAAATAATAATGGCAGAACGCCGCAGCGATTGCGCGTCTTTCTCAGCGGTTCACGCCAGTGCTCGCAGCCTCCTCTAATTTGTTCCGGAGAACGAAAGAGGGAAATTAGTATTCAACCAAGAGGTTTTAACAAGGTACATAATACCTCGTCAATATGTCTATCGAGATTATCAGTGGGTCATAGAGATGAAAACTCACAAACATACATTCAGCGACCGCATCTGGCGGAAAGACCGTACGTTTCCCAGACAATTGATGACATCCAGGCGACGGATAGAGCGCCGCCCGTCCGCGCAAAGGAAACATGCCCGGTACCATGGATGGAATGTACCTTTGACTTCGGTGCCCTCGGTTGGACGCCAAAGGATGTTTCCCCTGCACTCCTGCTGTTCTGTGCGGCCGTATCTCACAGAGACCTCCGATACTACACTGGGTGTGGTATCATTGGGATTGATGCAAACGCCCAGCTTACTCCCATCCGCAAACCGGACAACCTGGTGGACTGCCTCGTACCCATCGAACCCGACTTCGATCTTGAGTCATCAATATCTCAGAATTTACAGACTTTGGAGCATGATCTGCATGAAGAGGCCCAGCGGCATTATGAACTCCAGAATATCATGAGCGGAGCCACTATTCGTCACATCATTATACTCGAGGAGAACAACAACGCAGGTGGAAATCCCTGAAATGGATGCAACAGCTCAAAGCTGCTGGACAGACTGATGAGCTCGTCCCCACCACCGTTCTGCATTGTATCCTAGAACAAGGTCTTTTGCCAGTTCGAATGTGCATCGACCACCCAGGGGCAGATGGGGTTCACCGAACAGAAAGCGTCATCGAGAACTTCTTGCACCTCCTCGTCAAATCGCTCAGTCACCCACGATTGCGGCTACTGGATGCAGTCGGAGATTTCCTGCCCACCTCACCTACGGCGTCCATCCCAGATGTTCCACCATTCCGGAAGGTGTGCGTGAAAAAGGTAATCCAAGACCAATATCGGAAATCCCCAAACTCCCTGGCAGGCATGGAACGGCTCCCTCACGTATCGAGAGCTGGGCGAACTGACCGACCGGCTGGCACGTGCACTGATGCACTTGGGGATAGGACCGGAGCGCTTCGTCCCCATCTACATGGAAAGGTCCCAATGGACAACGGTGGCCATCCTCACCATGATCAAAAGTGGTGGTGCGTTTAGTCTACTGAGCCCAGCCCATCCTTTGCCCCGTCTGCAGCAGATCTGCGACGATCTCCGAAGTTCGTTTATACTGTCGTCGGAAGCGCAGGCGGCGCGGTGTCTGAAGCTTGGAGGAGAGGTTCTGGTTATAGAGAGTTTGGATCAAGCATGCCGATCAAGCCGTGTCCTCCAGGAGATGCCACCGGCCCAGCCAGGCAATGCGCTCTATGTCGCTTTTACGTCGGGCTCCACGGGGAAGCCGAAAGGAGTCGTGATTGAACACCAGGCGTACTGTTCATGCGCTCAATCCCATATACAGGCCTTCCAGATCAACGACAGGTCCCGCCTCCTGCAGTTCGCCGCCTACGCGTTTGATGTGAGTATCCTGGAGACGCTAAGCACGCTGATGGCTGGAGCGTGTCTCTGCGTACCGAGTGAGGCTCAACGAAATGATGTGGTATTGTTCGAAGACGCCTTAAGGGCTTTCCGTCTCACCCACGTAGGTCTCCCTCCCTCCTTTACTCGAATAGTCCCCTGGGCGAATCTCGAAGAGCGGCCCACGTTGTTACTCGGCGGCGAGCCGATGCGCAAGTCAGACAGGACCATTTATATCGCGCTGGGGATGCGCTTTATGAATGCATACGGGCCTACTGAATGCTCTGTCAATGCGACAATCCATGATCGCGTCCGGTCCACACATTCGGTGCAGAACATCGGCAAGCCTACCGGGGCGGTTGCGTGGATCGTCGACCTTGATGACATGGAGAAGCCGATGCAATGGAACGAGGTTGGGGAGCTACTTCTTGAAGGCCCAATAGTGGGCCGGGGATATTTGAACAACAGCGATGCGACCCGCAAGGCCTTTATCGACCCTCCGGCATGGCTTCGGCGGCTGCGAAAGGGGCAGTATCAGTATCGGGTTTACCGGACGGGGGATCTAGCGTCTCAGGATCAAACAGGAACTATTTACATCGTCGGTCGCAAGGATGGACAGTTCAAGATATGAGGGCAGCGCGTCGAGGTCGCCGATGTCGAACATCACGTCAACGACGTTGTGGCCATCAGCACTGAAGTTGTCGTGGAGAAGCTCAACACGTCCGACGACCACCAGATGCTCATCGCATTTATCGTCCTTGATGGGCCGTTACCTGCTCAGATGACTGACTCGCTCTTTCTAACACCGGAGGCCTCTGACCTGGAGACTTTCAAATCCATCCAAGAGCAGCTGCACAACCGTCTTCCCCGGTACATGGTTCCCGATCTGTGGATTCCCTTGGCCTATCTACCCAAGGCAGCGTCTAGCAAAATTGGCCGGCGTTTATTGAGAGACACTACAGCGGCAATGTCGCAAAGAGATCTTTACGCCTTTGCGGGCTCCCTGACAGAGAAACGGGCTCCTACCACTTCCAGTGAACGGACACTACAGCAAGTGTATGCTGATATCCTCCAAATCCCGCCCGCCACTATTGGCATGGACGATACCTTTTTGCGCCTTGGTGGCGATTCCGTCCAGGCTATCCGTCTGGTCGGGGCTGCAAGAAAGTCAGGGCTGACCGTTCAGATGCAGGAGGTCCTCGCTGAGGTCAGTGTCGCCGACCAGGCGGACAAGGCCATGACGATTGTATTTTCGCCTGAGGCTGTCGGAGCTGGTTCGCGGGTGCTCCATTTCTCCTCGTACGCGTTTGATGTCAGTATATATGAGATCTTCACTACACTGGCGGCGGGCGCAACCCTCTGCATACCGTCGGAGTTTGAACGCAAAAACGCGCTTGCCGAGGTGATCTGCCGATTCCAGGTCAATTAGGCGTTTCTCACCCCATCAACGGTGCAGACTTTGCAACCCTTGGAAGTCCCATGCCTGTCGACCTTGGTCGTGGGAGGGGAAGCCGTCTCCCGCGAAAACATCTACGTTTGGGCCCCTGGTCGCACGCTGGTCAATGGATACGGTCCCGCGGAAGCCACCATCTGCGGTGCTGGAATCATTCCGCCGACGGGGTGGAAGCCGGGGTTGATTGGTTCAACTGTCAGTGGTGTCGGTGGTGTCGGCTGGGTGACGATGCCCACTGACACGTCACGGTTGGCTGCCATCGGGGCCATCGGAGAGCTGCTGCTAGAAGGACCTTGTCTGGCCGCAGGATACTTCGACTCCCGGATACCACGGCCGCTTCATTTATAAAGTCCCCGGCATGGAGACAGAGAATGCCCCTGGGTCCATCCTCGGGTCTCTATCGGACAGGAGATCTCGTGCAATACCAGGATGATGGAACCATTCGATACATCGGCCGTCAGGGAACGCGCATGAAGTTGCACGGCCAACTGATTGACCTGGGAGAAGTCGAAACCAACACGCTCCACGGGTTCCCTGCGGCCAACGGAGTAGCCGCCGAGACCCTCTCTTTGGATGTTGGCGGCAACATAGCAGCAACACTAGTCGCTTATATACAATTCGACTCTAACAACCCCAGTCTCCAGCGATGTTGAGCGACTGCAGCAAGCCATGTGGGCCGATTTCCTGGGCACGGCCAAGGAATCCATTGGGGCAGATGACAACTTCCTAGCCATTGGTGGTAACTCAATCATCGCCATGCGGATGGTAGCCATGGCTCGGCGTGCCGGGCTCGACTTCACCGTGGCGGACGTCCTGAGCCCAAACAGCTCGTTGTCATCCCTTGCACTGTCCTTGCTGGAAGTCAGGCCCGGTCAAGAGAAACCTGTTATGTCTGCTCCAGCTCAGCCATCTATCCTCACATTAGTGGATTTCCAGCAACATCTCAGGTCTCTACAACAGCAAGGAATACTGCCCCTGGCAGGAAACGTGACCAGCGCGCGGCAAGCTACGGAAGCACTAGTCTCGCGGCATCCATGGTTCAATTTCCAGTTTCAATTCCAAGGCGAACTCAATGAGGATCGACTGCGAGATGCTTGTCAGGCACTTGTTCGTGCTCACAGTGTGTTGCGGGTTGTCTTTACCGAATATCGCGAGGAGCTCTTCCAATTAACCCTAGCGGAAGATATGGAACTCCCTCTACAGGTAGTAACGACCCACAACCAGTTAGACTCCTTTTGTGAATCTCTTTGCCATTCGGAGCAGGCTGTTTCGGTTCCTTCAGCAGGAGTCGCGATCCGTTTTACACTGGTACCCAATCCCACGCATACAGACCAGCGACTCATCATCCGTCTGGCGCACGCCCAGTATGATGCCATTTCCATTCCGATTCTGGTCCACGATCTCGAATCAGTATACAATGATGAAAACAAGATCGCAGATACCTCTATCGACTGGTACCTTGAACAACGAGCGCGGCATTCCGATCAAGAGCAGCAGCGAGCCTTCTGGCAGGAGTACCTGACGGGCTCTTCTCCCCTTGCCTCATCTCCCCTCGATCTCTCGTCGGCCACCCAGTTGGTCACAGGAACCTGCGATCTCGCTTTACCAACTAGGCTCCCACCTTCGGTCACCCTGCCCACCGTCGTGAAATCCGCTGCGTCTCTAGTCCTCGCTCGACACCTCCACCGACCTGATATTGTCGTCGGGCAGACCGTTGATGGGCGCAGTCTGCCATTCCCCGACGTCGACCGAGTTGTAGGCGCTTGTAACAACCATATCCCGTTCCGGGTACAGCCTCGTGCATCCATGACCGTCCGAGACTACCTCCTCCATGCCCCAGCCCAGCATGCCCGGAGCCTAGGTTCCGAGTCTGTAGATTTGCGCACGATCGTCTCGCACTGCACCGATTGGCCGTCTCCGGCGGAATTCGGGTACATCGTGCAGCATCAGACGGCTAATCACGGCCTAACGTTGACACTAGGGTCCAGGTCTGCGTCTCTCAAACTAGTGGGCGGGCTCTCACCCGGATCGGAGGTGTGGATTTGCTCTACCGAGACTCTAGTCAATGACTTATAGCTCAGGAGAGGGTTTGTAGATGAAACGGCCAGACATTTTCGCGTCCGGTCACCGCTTCTCAGTCCAAAATTAGTACTCTCAAATGGAAAGAAGAAGATCTCATTCGAAAGCGGTTCCAACCTCGTCTACCAGCAAAGGACCATCTTGACGCATTTTTGATAAGTGGAAGCATTAAAAGGAGGTGGTTTGATGGTTGGTGGGGGGGAATATTTCCGAGGAAGAAAGATGTATGCCAATTTTGTGTACAGTTATGTGGATCCAGAGCTACTGGATTTGGACAGTGGTGTCTGGTTTGGGTCTCGTAGAGTACCAGATATACTCGGATTAAGGGTATGGAGGACGTGGGGTGTGTTTGCTTAGAGATTAGGATGCACCATTTTGGCGCTTGAGCGCAACCCTTCTTTTTTTTTTTTTTTTTTTTTGGCTCTTTGAGTTAGCTAAGAGACATCACCCAAGTAGAGTGAATAGTGGGGGAGGCACACTGTTGTGTAGTAGAATAAAGACGCCGAACAATTTTGGTAATGCGATGTGATCTCCGAAGGGTCGATGGTAAAATAAATTCCAGTTCTAGTGGCGAGGATTATTACAAACAGCTCAGTATATAAGTTATAATCCCTCACTGATAGTGCTGTTGTGAGTAGGTAACATGTAGAATACTCGAGAGAACGAAATGTGGGCGAAGGAAAGGTATTGCAATAATGCAATCAATTGATCTAGCGGAAGACGCTGATTATACGCAAACCGCCAGAGCCTGATGAGGGTCGACAGTATTAGATCCAATTAGATTAGATATTGTAACACTAACACTATAAAGGTCACTGTTTTTTAATACACTACTAGTACATATGTTCACTGGATGTAGAGAGCTATATATACTACTCAGCTGTACACCAGCCATAACACAAGTGATTCTCAAATAAATAAGCACACGTCGGAGCATGCCCATCAGCAAATCCCTCTCGTTGTATGTTATTTACTATCTCTTATTTTTCTTACTTTCTTTCATAAATCTCCCATTGTAATACTTTTATCCATGCTGAGGAACACTTCTCTTGAAAATATCGAATATAACCCCCTATCGTCATCCATTGATACACTTTAAATTCAAAAGGAAATTTACATCTTTGCACCATCAAACAGTACAACCCCCAAGGACCGGGCAGGATAGTACTCGAACTCCATACATCCATCATCAACCAAAGCACAGTGCTCTCCGTTAAACTCCTGGCTAGGAGAACACCGGGGGTGGCTTGTCGCTAATACACTCCTTGGAAGCAACATCCTACTTGGTGTTGGTTGGGCAAGTGGGATCGATTTCGACAACACACTTCTTGCCGTTGAACTTGAGGCCGGTAGGACAGCCTGGAATCTCATCCAAGGCGCATTCGCTACCGTCAAAGACCGTGTCGGGGGGACACTCCGGAGCATCACCCACATAAGCGGTGCCGTTGAAGCTGGTACCGGGCTCACATTCGGGTCGGACATCGGAGACACATTTGCCATTACACAGAGTGTAGCCTGGCTCACAGCCCTTGACCTCGGTGTTCACACATTCCCCATTGACCCACTTGTACAAGGGAGGGCAAGTGGGATGGTCGAAGGTGACACACTGAGTACCGTCGAAGATGAGACCCTTGTCACATTGTGGAGGTCCATTGAAATATTTGCCGGTTTCAAATTCGGGGGTGGTAACAACGCAGTTGGTGCCGTCAAAGCGTGCGTCGCCCTCACAGGTCGGGGCGTCAATACTCACACAATGCTCCCCGTCGAGCTTTGTTTCGTCGGGACAAGCAAGTGTCTCGGTTGAGACACAGTCAGAGCCCTTGAGCTGGTAGCCGGTGGTCCTATTATATTTTGCATACAACTAGTAATATTTGTAGAAGGAAATTGATATACATACAAACACACCCACCGAGATCAACACGATCCGTTCGCAGCTCGCCACAGTAGTACGTACCCCGATTGCTGCCCCTCCCGTATCCTCTCTGTGAGCTGAGCTGGGAGGTTGAGATATAAATACGTGGACATTCTTTCCCATTTTCCACTTGGAAGACAACAACCAGAAAAGAACAAGTGAACAAAATCTGGACAATCTATCCCACTATTCTCCCTCGCATTATCCAGCAAACGTCAACTCTCAGCACCAAGGTAAGATACTCATATACACCGTTATTCTCCTCCATTCCTAGCCTCATTCTGATTCTCTGGCTAGATGTCCACCGCGTTAGGTCAGCTTGACTTTAATCCCGCATCCTTCATTGTCCTTTGAAGGATTGGTGGCTACAAGGTCAAGTTCGACGGTCGTTTCACCAAGGGCTGTGAAGTTTGCCAGTCGTCCGCTGCTACATTTGAATACGACAAAATCCAAGACCTTTGGGGTGGCTACACGATCGACAACGCGTCCATACCATCAATGAGGATAGTCACATAAGTCTCATATTTAAAAACGACAACAAGCAAGTCAAGATCACTGGTGACCTCGATTTTCGTATTCCTGAGTGAGTTACAGTCGCCGGTGTAGGAGTCTGGAGAGTTGACTTTGCTTAAGAATGGGGACATATAGTCCGATGGTCGGATTTCTAGAGTCTCACTTGAAATATCTTGTTATCTATACCTATATTGTGCGGCGAGGAGTAGCTAGCTATTCTTCTCTTCAAAACTCCAATATATCTCTGAATAATTAAGAATTCCAGGCCCGACTATTCCCTAATGACTTCCTGATGTTCGTAAATATTCAAAAAAAAAAAAAAAAAAAGAAAAAGACCTATCATACTATCCACTATATCCGCGTGCAGTCCAACAACCCATGTCTCATCTTGAGAACCTCTTTAGAATCCATTACAATATGGCAGATTGTAAAAATGATTGCGGTGGAGATATCAATACTATTGTGGTAAGGTATTCACCGTGTATCTCACCTCCGATTCAGGATCACAATGGGGGCATGGCTATTGAAGAGACTCCATCAGTACTTAACTTGAGGGAGAGATAATCTTTCTGGCTAGGTAGAATGGCCATTACCTAGGGAACTATTGGGAGTGTGGAGTACTACGCGCATCTCGTGATTCAATCAACCCCAGCCATTAATTCTTATCCATTCCAACTTCCACTGTAGAAAGACAAGATACGAGAATAGCTGCCTAACTGAATTAAAAAATGCCTTCTGCATGTTCGCTATTGTTTAGGTTCCATCCATATACATGCGATCATGGCAGATCGAATTAGAGACAAGAAGGCAAACAAGGTGGCAAAAGGATTGAAACATGAAAACGGAAAACATGGACCATAGCGCCAGGTTGCTTAAGTTGCTGTAAACTTCCGTCTTACGCCATAAATCAAAAGGGTCATCAGACAGCCATGTCGAAAGGAAGAAAAAAAAAATTCGGGAGTGAAACCATTGTGACCGAAAGCGCCGTCTCTGCTGTATAAGTATGTCTGTTGAGGTATAGCAGATTAAGAAAAGGGTTAAGATATAGACCAACAGGAAATGAAACATGATTAGTTGTAAGAATACGTCAGGTCAAACCTAGCAGGAAACCAGATTGATGTGATTATCATTAAGAGCAGCACAGGCGAGAACGGTGCGGTGAGGATGGAATGCGGTGCTTGCGATCGGAGAAGAGCGGTTGTGATGGAGGAAACTCGAGTAAGGCTCGAACGTCGACAGATAGGTGCCGTCAACGTTGAAAGTCTTGACTTCATGGCGGTTGGTGCCGCTGCAATTGTTTCAAGTTAGCCAAGTCCACCACCAACTCAAATGGTAAAGTTAAGAAGTATATCACGTACACCATGAATACTGGAGCGTGTTCATGAACGCTCAACGTTCGTAAGGTATCTTTAGTAGCGTAGAGTGTCGAAATTGGATTGTCCATCCGAAGATCCCAAAGTCGAATCTCACCGTTCCGACTACCAGACACCAGCTCTCTTAAGCCACCCCGCTGCATATGGACATTGGTAATCCACTGTTTGTGCTCGCGCCATACTTTGACCATGGAAGTCGTGGGTTTGATACGTTGATCGAATACTCTGACTGCCCCATCACCGAATCCAGCTACGAAGATGTTACCCGCAACTTGATCGGAAGTTAGGGAAGTGATGCACGATCCTGAGCGAGCAGGGATGTCCTATAACATGTAAGGTCAGCATTCCTCCCACATGTCTAGTGTCTAAAATAAAGACGTACATTGGTGCAAACTTCAGTTGCAGCGTTCCATACTCGTATGACCTTCACATCTCCTGCGACTAGCGCCTTACCCTGGCCCTGTTGCCAGTCAAGAACAAGCCCAGCGTTTCGGTTACTGGGAATAAGCTCTGGCAGAGCTCTGAAAGCTGTCACGATCTCGACATCCCTTGTGGACTCGTAATTCCTGAAAACCTTCAGAACTCCATCTGAAGAACCTGTCATCAAAAGTGCCTGATCATCTTCGTTAATGTAACGGACTTCGTTGATCTTTGACCCTGGTGGATTTCCGTTAGAAAACTGATTGAGACGTTTGTGGCTTTGCCAGTCCCAGATCCTGAATAGGTAAAGAAGAAAATGTCAGCATGAGTCACAGCAACATAAAGCTCACCAGACTTACGCAATAGTATCTTTGTCATCCGCAACGGCGATATGATCCTCGAACTGGTGAAAGCACATCTTCAGGGGCTGGCTGCTGTTAGAGAGTAGGGCTGTTGAATTATCCCATCGACTGCTGCCGGCTTTACTCTTGAGGGGTTGCGTCTCTGTGATAATCTTTTCGTTACGGCTTCGTCTCCAAAGGCGTTCGTTGTAGTCCGCGCTACCGGGTTCATCGGGCTCATTGGGCTTCATCTGGGGCTCCCGGAAATACTGAAGATGGGTGAGAAACTGTTCATAATCTTGATTGTATTGCTTGCATATTAAAGCGAGAGATTCTGGGATTACCTCTGTGGACCAATCTAGGAACCTGCTCATTAAGGGGATGGTAGGGGGGGTTGATGGGGGCCTGGGTTCGAAGCCGCGGGATGTTGGGGTCGGAGCTTGGTGGTAGGCTGTTGCAGGGGCAACTTGGTCGTTAACTTCGGGGGGCCGGGTCCATTCCGGAGGGGCTCGTCCTCGTGGCGTCATGGGCATGCGACTCTTGTCCGCGGCTGAAAGTTGCAACGACTGCGGCTCTGCTGATGAACCTCCAAAGGCAAGGTTTTTGAGGGACGCCGCGACACTAGCAGTCCGCTTTAAACTCAGAGAAAGATAGCCTTCCTGTTTTGGTGGAGCAACCGACGGGGGAGCCGGCGGTGGTGCAGTCTTCTTCGACTCTAGTCTTTCCCGGACCTGCGTCTTCTGTGACACTCTGTTTGAGAGGTCCAGTATTTCTTGCCGAATTTTCTCAGTTAGCGATGCCATGGGGGATTGCACAAGGGACAAATGAATATGATCAACAATTGTAGCTGCATCCTGTGCGATGTCAGGATGTGGGTCAACAGAAAGGATAAGAAGCTGTTTCCAAATAGTGCCAAAAGTGGAATTGCGAGACAGCTTCTGTGGCTTGTAACTCGAAAGTGAGCCATTTACAGGGCCATCCAGTGCACCCTCAGAGGAGTGACCTCTAGATGTCACCTGGTCGACTTTGGAGAGAAGGCTCTGCTTCTCATCCTGAAGCTCTTCATATGCGGCAACTAGGAATTTGTTTTGATAGCGTCTCACGAAAGTCGAGAAGAACACCAGCAGTTCTTTGCGAACAAGCACACTACCATCGGATGCCATTGGTAACACGGCCATGGCTAAGGATTCTTCAATCTGTGCCACTTGATCTGTCAAATCGGGGATACCCAAGAATGTCGTCACAGCATGCAACATTGCAGCTCGGACCTCCGGGACAGGATCAAAATTGAGCTCGCAGAGTCTTGCAGGTGCCGCGCATCGAATACCCATCCACTTTGCCTCAGGGAAATCAGACCATAGCATGCTAATGCAAAGACATGACCATTGACGCAGTAAAGGATTCTCAACATCCATCAGATGCCGCAAGCAAGAGTCAAAGAGTTCTGCTGAAAGACACACGTTCTGGCCCTGGGGATAATTCTTGCAAAATATAGACACAATAAATGCACACATGGCTCGATGTTCGCTAGCATTTCCGACAGGTATAGGCGATGACGGGTTGAGAATAGAAATGAAGTAATGAATTCCGTTGTCCTTTAGCAGATCATTCTGGACTGTATGGTCGACCGCCATGATTCTTGCCCATATGAAAACCATAACAGGCTTCAGCTCCTGGGCTGCCGACTGTAGGAGCTTGACGACGTAAGGGAAGATACCTATGCTCAATGCCAGATGGACGGCCCAAGGTCCCAAGTCCAGGAACTTACTGAGTAAAATCAAGGCCCTCAATCGGTGAGCCTGACTCAGGAGGACTTGCAGGACAATAGGTAGCTGGTCCGGCGGGTTCCTCTCTGTGGGTCCAGATGACAAGTACACTTCAAAAGCAGTAAGCTGCTCAGCGAAAAAGGTAGAGTGTTGATATTCATATTGTCTACGGCCTTCTTCATGGTCAATGAGCGCAGGAAGCTGAGCCAAAACCATTTCAACGGCTAGATCCCAGCTTTTCCACAAAGGATGATGGTGTGTCTCTGGCAGTTCAGGTGACGATATTGGATGGCACTTGTATGTGCGCATGATCCGTTCGCTAAGGAGGAAATTTCTAAAGAGGGCCGCTACCATTAAATCTTGACGGAAGAGCTTCTTAAAGAGAGCTCGGGGCAAGGTATTCCACGCGATGGTGTCCGTAATGGCAGTGAAAATCCAGTTTAGTTCTCCAAGAGGGCTTCTGCGGTCCTGCAAGCGACCAGGGACTCGGAAATCATCAATGGAGATGTTACTCTGTAGAGGATTCTGGAGGATGAAGTATCTCAGGGCGATCTCGATGGGCGTCGTCAAACAACAAGTGAAAAGATCTGCGGGGAGGTCAGGGTTGGTTGGAAGCGACTCGCTCTTCTGGCACGCGGCGAGGATTATGCAATCCCCATAGTTTTGGGTGATCACATTAGGATCCCGCTTCTTTGCTTCGATATTCTCTTTTTCGTGTTTCTCGACAAAAGTGTGAAAATTCTGGACGATGTTCCCAGCATGTGATACGTCGAAAACAAAAAGGCTGGGGCCTGCAAGCCAGGACTGCAAATCATATAAGGATACCGGGATGTATTGCGTATAGTTCTTGTTGAAGACCCATATCTCACCAGACTGGGTAGGTAAAGGGACACCATGGCCGTTATAATGGAAAAGAACTCTCTCGTCTTTGGCGTTACGACGGAGAGATATGCAAAACTTTTTCGTCTCGTCAACAGATGGGTCGAGATATTGCTTGTACCTAGTTCTTAAGCTAAGTGTTTCATATTGTTCCTGTAGCTTTTTTCCAATCTGCTCCATTATTTTGGTCTGCCCGCCACCAGTGGTGGATGTTGGGTCAACCCAACATTCGAGCTTAGCCGTAGGGTTCGTCTTGACCACATCCGGGGGATCAACACCGATGTTCAAGCATATGGCCAAGGCGGCAGAAACGGTTTTCAAACGGTCCTTCATACGCCAGTCCTGGCTGGGCCAGCTTCCCACGGGATCTCTCGGCATACCGTTTGTCTCATGGCGTTTTTCCGTAAAATACATGTAAAAGTTCTAGACTCATCAGAGGATACTCCATTAGAGCAGCGTATCGTCGTTCTGCTTACCGAGTGTAATATTTTCAGGTATTCGCTCGAAGTGTACTCTTCTTGCCATCCATGGCGCATAGCAAAGTCCTCTTCATCCTCTCCAGTAGCAGATCTGTCAAACCCCAGTCTTGGACCATAGTCACTTTTAGCCCGTTTCAAAGGGGCCGGCCGTGCTGAATCCGATGCCCGATCAGGTGTCAACCGAGGGTTATCATCTATGACAGCTGGGCCTTCACCCGCCGAGGAACTCGTCGGTCTGTCAGGGGTGGTTACAGGGGGGTGTCTTCGCTCCACGGTAGTAAACGATCTGTGGTGTCCTGGTCCAGCCGCGGGTGACTTATCGCGAGGAGGGATATGCGTTTCCAGGTCCGGACCGAAGGCCACGCGGACGGATTTGGTGGTGTTCTTTCGGGGCTCAGCGTGACCGCTAAGTTCTTGGGGCTCCATGGTGGCTTTCTGTTCCGTGATCAAATTGGGATCCTTCATTATGCAGATATCATCATGTTCAGGCAGGGACGTGAAGGCGTGCTAGCTCCTCGGATGGTCAAAGTCTGGAAAGAGTGGAGATTTAGAAGTGGTTCGTTGGCAATTAAGTTTTGAATGTGATATATTATAGCTATTCGATATATCTGATTGTGGGGCAGACGCACATGTATGCTCTCACCTTATCAATTATCATGCCACGGTGCGTGCACAAACAGTAGCGGAATATCGTCCCTAATCTGTAGCCTTCCGCGATCAGTAACCCGACGCTTTATGTCGCGAGAGGTTTAGAACTGCCTCCACAGCGGAAGGAACAGAGAAAAAAAGGTATCTCTTCTGCTCCTTGATGCCAAAGATGACAAACTCTCTCTCCCAAGCCCTCAGCTTCAGAAATTATGAGTTGTCGATATCTTTTATGGTAACAGTGAGGTTCATGAGCTTTAGCCGCAATATCTTGGCACAGAACTATCGGAATATCTATCGCTCCGAAGGCCGCTTTCTCCATAGATACATCAGGCAGAGCAGCTTTACTGTGTATGTCATACAACTCATTGAAATCTCACAGTTGTTGGTACATGTGCGTACGTCATTTTATTTCACATTACTTCTTTGTATGAAGACAGAGTATTCATTCAAAATATATTTTTGTAGTCGCCTCTACAAACTTCTCGTACTAGTTGCTAGGTGGGTTGATGTATAAATAATGGCAGCCTAACTATACTCGGTAATACCATCTAGACCCTGCAGCACAGATCCTGATAGTACAGTACATACGAGAGGGAAGTACTAGGTAGTACCACGTGCGTGTAATATCTAACTTTCAAGCAGGTACAACAGTTTAAGGGGATTTGTTTGTCTTGGCGTTCGTTGACGATCCTGATATGCTACTGAGTTTAAACTTCATACAATACTTAGTCTACAAAATACCACCTGGATCCATCTTTTACACGGTCTCCCATCTTGGGTCTGGTTCGTTGAGATCCCATTGGACCAAGATGGGACCATCTGCGAGGTATCATGTAAGAGAGCTCACTCTCTACCGATCCTTTGACCATTACAAACCGGGAGTGAAATATCAATATCCAGAAATATACCAATCCTTCTTCTGTATGTACATACATACATACAAACAAACAAACATATCCCTACCAAATTAAGTTCGGAATACTCATGTTATTCAGACCCAACAGATATTAAGGTACGGATAAATGCGACGGTTGCCAGGGACATAAGAGATTACAAACCAGTAACTTAATCTGACTTAGGGTGTTCTCAAGGCAGGTTACCGCAGGTATGCCTTGATACATAGTAGATATGCTGTCAACTTGTCAGGAATTCAGATTTCACCCCGCGCTACCCGTAAAAATTGACCAGCCCAACCTGTAAGGTGCGGCGGATATTCACTAATACGACGAGTCCATTTTAATGAGGCCATAGATAAAGAACAGAACCTGACACAAAAAAAAATGTTCATTCTAGTCAGCTGCATTGTATGTGGAACCATACCTGAAATGGAGCTTCAGGATAACCAGTGAAAAAGAAAAAAGGGATGGAGTTTTCCATTGGGATTAGCGATGAGGCGGGTTAGTACTAGTATTGGACCAAGCCGCGAGCCAGTGACTTGCGTTTCCTCCATCCCTACCTTTCCAGCTAAGCGAATCTCCAAGGTTCTGATAGGCCCATGGTTTGAACGTTTCCCCTCCACCCAGTTTTAGTCCACCTTGAGCTTGACCAAGAGAACTTCTGGATCGAACCTGACCAGCCCCCCTTTTGAGAAGGTTTGTCGGCTCTTTTAGCCCCCTGGCTCCGCCCTTTTCTGGCACCGTCCCTGACTTAGTCGTGGATAGTTTCTAAGTTTAGGGGCGGTACCCAACCGGCCATCAACAGTTTTTTTTTTTTTTTTTTTTTTTTTTTTTTTTTCTCTTTTTTTTTTTTTTTTTTTTTTTTTTTTTTTTTTTTGGCACCGTCCATCATCTCTTCATTCAGCTGAACAGAACAAAAGTCAAAGGAAGAAAAAGAAAGAATCACAAGAAAGAATCACAAGAGGTAACAAGAGGGGCTAAGATGTGATCAGCCTCATGTGTCGACATGTTAGCCAGTGTAAAAGGAGACGAGAGCGAGCAATTATTCAGAGCATACTAGTCGTAAATGATGGCTAGACAATCTGTCCGCATGACGGAGACTCTACAATGATGGTACAGTACATGGAGACGTTGATGATGATGATGAGGATGTACAGATGTTTCGTTCCTGCATAGATCATACATACTGTTACCTGTAAGGTACACGAACTCCACAACCAATGGAGAATCTGCTACATGAATCAAAATGGAAATAAACAGAGATCATCGTAATTATACGACCTCAATATTTGACACCACGGGATTTCTATACTGGCTACCTCGGAAGGATGCATTTACCGATTACTAGTCCTGTCAACGAAATGGGATATAACCACTGGATACCATGATCATCATGGCCTAGATAAGAGGGGAAAACAAATATGCAACTATGTACCATTATGAGAGCAATGAAGTTAATAATAATAATAATAATAATAATAATGATAATAATAATCATAAACAAACAAATAAATAAATAATAAAATAAGATAAAATAAAGACGAAAAGCCTGAGTACAGGGACCACCACTCCGATAGTGCTAAGGTTATTCTTGTTAGTCTGCACATGTTCATTAGGATTTTGTATTTGTGGGTTTGACACCTGAATTAAAATGAGTTCAAAATCCCCATACTCCGGCAGTTACGGGGATAGAATACACCCGAGTAGTGTCCCATTTATGAATAATACTAGGTAGGAATAGACTGGTTTGGAGATTGAACTCCAGAAACTCTTGAAAACTATTCAGTGATGCATCCAAATTCCTCCTCACGGTTTAGAAAATTATGCATGATAATGTGACTGACCTATGTATGTGCCATCGAACTAGTAGTAGCTAGTCTAATTATGTATCAGATTCTCTGCTGACCATCTTTAACTGTAACAAACAGTATTACCTTACTCCAAAGGCGGTGACCCCTAACTAGGAACTCGAACTACTGTACCGTTTGGATCAACAACAATTCTTAAAAGAAATTCAAAATAATTATCTAATTAATGCTGGTTAGGGAACTTTGAAACGCCGGGGCCTCGCATTATTCCTGTCTCTCACTCTCCCTCTTTCTTCTTCTCCAATATCCATGTCCATGACCCAGGGCCCGTTTCCCTCCCATACTCGCATCTTTATTTTCCCCTTGTCTTCTTTCTCCTTTTCTTTTCCTTCTTGAGGGCTTTTCGTTTTCGTTTTCTTTTCCACTTGTTCCGCCCTTGTTTACCTTGTCTCCTGTATAAGTCACTCATGCTCCCTCGGAGTCGCAATCGAGGATTCGCTTTGGGAATAGAAGGAACATTGTCGCCGTCCTCTGCTCCAAGACGCTGAGCGACTTCTAAGGGCTTGGATGGGACTGTTCCATTGTTCCTCTTCACACTCTGACCACCGCCCGTGAACATTGGGAAGGCACGTATCCAGACCTGATCGAATTCCGGCTGGGTTCCGTCGTTCGCTCTCTTTAGACCTTCTACAGCCTGGTGCCATCGTTATTTTCCTTGTCTCTCTTTCTTTTTTTCTCTTTTTCCCTCTTCTGCTGATTGCTTTTGGCCGGTTTGATTTGATTCTGCCATTGTATTACTGAGAATTATTCGACTCCTTGTGACAAAGCGGCCTTGATTTGGCTTTCAGCGCGAATTGGATTGCCTTTTCCCGGTACCGATAATCTACAACCCTGTACTCTGAACGACCGTTTACGATTCAATTGTCACGATGGCATTCTTGTTTAAATCCAAAAAGAATCAACAAAATACTACCCTTCCTCCAGTGAACAGAAACCTCCATACCTCCGAGGGAGCGTCCACAAATGCACCGGCGGCGCCAAATGGAGTAAAAGAGCGGGAGGGAAGCAATTCGCAGACGCCGACCCCTAGCAGCAGCTACAATAATTCTCTGAATTCGGTGAGCAGTATCAACAGCCCGGAACAGCAGCGGGTGCGACAAAGAGCCGAATCCGAGTCACAGGTTGGTACTCCACGCTCCCTTTACCTCTTATTAAATACCTTTCGCTGGTCGCAAGAATACCTCTCGACCACATGCAACATGGCTAATCATGTACAGATCCAACGGCCATCGCAACAATCGATGAACAATAATGCTGCCAATACGAGCCCCGGTGTTTCACTGTACCCATGGTCACAGCGTCGTCTAAATTTTTCCACGCCACAGACGAATCCATTTCCCCGTTATGGCGCAGCTATAAATGCGGTTGCTTCGAAGGAAGGAGCTATATATATGATGGGTGGATTGATAGACGGATCAACTGTGAAAGGGGACCTCTGGATGATTGACAGCAGCGGCGGAAATCTCTCATGCTTTCCAATTGCCACTGTGTCGGAGGGGCCCGGTCCCAGAGTCGGTCATGCGAGTTTACTGGTTGGTAATGCTTTCATTGTTTTTGGCGGTGATACAAAGGTGGACGAGGCCGATACCCTGGACGACACACTTTATTTACTGAATACTTGTACGTGCTGACGTTATGACCCATGCTGGAAAAATTGTGCCCTAACATCTTATGTCTCTCAGCCTCCCGGCAGTGGTCGCGCGCCATACCTCCTGGGCCCCGACCCACTGGGCGGTATGGACACACCTTAAACATCCTTGGCTCGAAGATTTACGTCTTTGGTGGACAGGTTGAAGGTTACTTCTTCAACGACCTTGTCGCATTTGACCTTAATCAATTGCAGAATCCAGCGAATAAGTGGGAGTTTTTAATCCGAAGCAGTCACGATGGTGGTCCACCTCCGGGCCAGATCCCCCCGGCCAGAACGAACCACACAATGGTAAGCTTCAATGACCGGCTGTATCTGTAAGTCTTGCATCTCAACTTCCCCTTGTCTAGTAACGGATAGTTTACTCACCCTCACCTAGGTTCGGAGGAACGAACGGCTTACAGTGGTTCAACGACGTTTGGACCTATGATCCTCGCGCTAACCAATGGACTCAACTCGATTGCGTTGGATTTATCCCTACGCCACGAGAAGGGCATGCAGCAGCTCTTGTAAACGATGTCATGTACATATTTGGCGGCCGCACAGACGAAGGAATCGACCTTGGAGACCTTGCAGCTTTCCGTATCACGACCCGACGGTGGTATTCTTTTCAGAACATGGGACCCGCCCCGTCACCAAGATCCGGGCATAGTATGACGGCTTTCGGAAAGCAGATCATCGTGATGGCGGGTGAACCAAGCTCTGCACCAAGGGACCCCGTGGAACTCAGCATGGTATACGTCCTCGACACATCGAAGATTCGCTATCCAACCGAAGCGCCAAATGGAGATAGAGCGCCCCCGCCTGGTATGAGAAAAGGCAGTGCAGACAGACAAAGCCCTCAGGCGGGCCGTACATCTCGCGAAGCGCAAAATCAACCTCCAGATCCACGACGACCAGGTGCCTCGCGGGACAGCATGATGAGTCCGACCGGCAGACCGGCAGACGTTGGTCCCAACCCAGGGCCCGGGTCTCGACTCCCGAGGGCCTCTATAGCCCAGGCTCCTTCAGGACCTCCTCCCCCAGGTCAAGCCCCCACCCCCGGCCCTCGAGGGAGCACCCCCCAAAACGCTATGAACCCACGAAGCAAGACCCCCACAAAAATGGATCGGTCGTATGGGGGTCCGCCAGTGGATACCGTTCGAGCGATAGCAGCTGATGGGGATAAGGAGTCTCCAATTGCCAAAGAATCCCCGAAGGAGGCTAGACCTGTTCATGATTCTGGATCTGGATCAGGAGACCGTCGCACACCTCCTCAGCAATCACGAATGTCTGCCCGGGCTATGGAGGCTGGCGAGGCAGCCCCCCTTATTAGTGCTCCGGCCAGGCAACGGTCGCTGCGTCAACACCGACAGCGCAGCTCTATGGATAGTGCCGATGAATCTGTTTTGGGTCGAAATGCCAGTATTGATGGCTCGATAGACTCTCGAGGCCATCGGAATTCGAAGACCCTAGGTGATGAACCCCGGTCACCAAGGTTGACTGCCCATCAAGAAGCTCTAATTAAGGAGCTCGAGGCCGTGAAAAGCCGTAATGCATGGTATGCTTCTGAGCTTGCATTGGCCAAGAAGGCTGGTTACACGCCGAATCCTTCAAGTAGCCCAACTTTAGACGAGCGTGCGGGCGATGTGTTCGCTGACGAAGACCGCCCCTTGATTGAAGCATTTCTTGCAATGAGGGCAGAACTCGCAAAGATGCAAGCAACTGTAGATCGACAAGCTGCTATAGCTTCCAAGCGGGTCGCTGAGGTTGAGCACCAAAGAGACGTGGCCGTCAATGAAGCGGCTTATGCTCGTGCTAAGCTTGCCGCTCATGGTGGTAGTCAAAGAGGAACTCCGCAACCTGATGGGCGTTCTCAGGATCCTGAAGAATTGATGACGGAGAGAAGCACTGATATCAGCAGAAGATTGGCTCTGGCCCTTGCGTCTCAGAATGAGCTCAAATCAAAACTGGAAACGGTTACAAGTGACCTTGAACAGGAAAAGCGGGGTAGAGAGCTCGCTGAAGAGACATGTGAAGCTACCAGGAGACGTCTAGCTGAACTTGAGATGCAAAACAATGCTTTGGAGGCCGAGAGCCTGCGTGCAGAATTACATCAGCTGGAAGCCTCCATGAGGGAAGAGGCCTTGCTACGAGCTGAAGCAGAATCCGCAACAAAACAATTGACCTTGGACAAGGAAGAGCTAATGAAAAAGGTTGAAGACTCCTCAACTCATCTCAAAGACTTTGGTACTAATCTGGGCGTGCTCCGAGAGGCCGTATCTGCGTCTTCTGGCAAAGCAGCCCTTCTCGAGAAACAATTGGAAGAAGAGCGTGAACGTCGGGAGGGTTTGGAGAAAAAGTTGCTGCAGCTCAGATCTGAGCACGAGGAACAGAATGCAGAACTTGAGAATATTGTCCGTCGTCTTCACGACGCCGAGGAACTCGCCGAGAGCAATGCTAGGGAAGCTGAGACACACAAGAACGCATTCTTGACAGGACTTGACCGCGCATCATCCTTTGATTCTGATTCTTCCATACGGTCGCTCGCAGACCAGCGGGTAGCTGCCTTGGAGGCACAGGTGGAAAGGGCAAATAAGCTGGCGAAAGCTAGCCAGGCGGCTGCAGATGAGGCAGCAGACAAGCTCCGCCGTGCAGAAGAGAGGATTGCAGGTTTAGAAGCATACCAGGAGCAGGCCAGTAGAGAAGGGTTGCAGCTTCGAAGGCAGCTCCAAGCAGCTATGAAAGAAGGCCAGTCTCATGCCACTGAAAACAGGGAGCTGAAAGCCCAGCTTGAAAACCATCAACGCGAGTCTGGCGCCTTGGCGATCCAACACGCAGCTCTCAAAGACCTTCTTGGTGAGCGTGGAGTCAACTATTCTGATAGCAGGCGTTCTCCTCGACTGGAATCCCCTGGGTCTCGGTTTGGAACACCTGAGCAGAGTCGACTTCGTGAACTGGAGCAACAACTCTCGACCAGTCTCAAGGCCCATGAAGAATTGAAGGCGTCATTCGAGACTCGCGAGCAAGAAGCTGACCGTGCATATAAGGAGAAGCTCGAACAGCTTGAAAACGATTACCAGTCAGCTGTTCATTATGTTAAGGGAACTGAAAAGATGCTGAAGCGCATGAAGGATGAGCTCACTCGTTATAAGTCTCAGAATGCAAAGATGCAATCAGAACTGGAAGCAGCCCAGAGTGACAAAGCGCAAACTTCTGACCAATCGCCGATGCAGACCGAGTGGGAGACTGAGCGCGCACAACTTCAAAAGTCTCTTGCCGATCTGCAGCAAGACACTTCATCCTCGATCATAAAACTCGAAAGCGAGATTGCCAAGCTGAAGGAGGATCTCTCTGCCGCCGAAGCTGATAACAAAAAGTCCCGATCGGAATATGAAGGTTCCCAGCAAGAACTGATGGCTTCTGCGGAAAAGAGCCGCGCCGAACTGGATCAGCTTAAGCGCGAGAATTCTCTCCTCGAAAGTCGCGCCTCAGATGCTGAACAGAAGGTCAATATGCTTTTGGATCAAGTGGAAGCGTCGGTTGGACATTACCGTCGTCAGTCCCAGCATGGCCAAAACATGAATGGCATCTCACGTACATATAGCAACGCCTCGAGCAATACCATAAGCAGATCAAGAGCCAACAGTGCCGTGTCACAGGAGGATCCATTCCCTGACAATCGTGGTTCTATGGCTTTGGACTCCTTGGCCAATGAGCTGGAGACCTTGCGTAGCCACTGGGAGAGCACTAACCGCAATTATCGGCTAAGCACTCAGTCTGACTTCGACCGGACTCCCACCAAAGAGACAGGACTAAGTGACAGCCTTGCGGAATGGAGGCGGCGTTTGGATGAGGATGACACCCGGGCAAGTTCTCCTGAGAAAAGTAAGCCCCGTAACACAGAGGGAGGGCCTACGACAACAAACATGATTTGAGAAGCTCGGCAGTATAGAGATGACTTGTCTATTGTCTATTGGAAAACCTACGGTGAGGCCTGAAGTTTGCCAGGGTCACACTCGTCCTGTGTCTTCGGCTTCACTATCGTGTCCACAAAGCACCCTGTCGCTGTGTATGTTTTGATGAATTGTTGATTTGTCATCTAGACGATGTAAAGGCATACGTTATGTCGGGTTTTTATTCGTTTGTTACCCTGACTATCACCTGGCTATCTTAGTCAGTACACGATGAAGTCAGTGAATTATGATTCATTTCCCATATTGTTCATGTTCCTTCTTTCCCTCTCCTATGTTTGTTCTTCTTTTCTTCTTCCTTTTGTTATCTTCGTCTTCTTCGACTTCGTTTTTATACCCCTTCACATTTTGACACAGCCTTGGAATGTACTATTACTTAACTTTGCACTTCACGAAGTCTCTGTCTGAACTAAATCAATTATTTGCCTTTCACAAATTACTGTGACTTGTCCTATTCACCGAGTCAGTCTTAGCCTCATGGACGGACGAGTTTGGATGAGTAAATGTAGTGAGATAGATATGTCAAATAGGATCCTCCCAGAGATTCGCATCTGATTAATACAAATAAAGCTGTTCCAGATTGTACACGAACTCGGCGAGATGCCATGGTTCAATTATTATTGCAGCTAGCCCGATGGTGCAATGACTTGTCGAGGTGGGACGATTTTGTCGTGGCTTTGATCCCTTTCCTGGGTGCGGAGTATGAGGTAAATCCAGGCAAATTTCTGGATGTCGATACTCTAGGGTAGGTTAATATGAGCATGAAGTTTGGTGATAAACGTCATATTTATTGTAACATTGGAAATAATTGATGTAGATAGATTGATAGATTGATTGATTGAAAACAATAATGGGAGAGAGACTGTAAGCCTGACTGGATGATTTGGCGATGTCATCCGTGTAGTAGTTGTCAGTCAGAACTGGGATGAGGCACATCATACCACTATGATCGTCCGTCACCCGATGTATGTATGTATGTATGTATGTATATAATTACCGATCACTATGGCATCGGCGTCAGAGATCTTGAGCTAGCTTGCTAGCTAGCAGCGGTTTCTGCCCAAAATCGGGCCCCCGTAATCGCCCGTAATTACCTGACAGAGTCCGGAGTACGTAGTGGTTTTGCCCAGTCTCAGATGACCCCAGATCAATCAAATGGAGCAATTGGATGGATCCATTCTAATAATTGCCTCAGGCCCCATGTGAGGCAGTCAATCAGGGTCGAATCTGGTAAAACAAGCTAGAATACAAAGTAGAATGATCCAATTAATCAAAATAGGGCACCTCGGTCAAATTGTTCGGCTGATATATAGTAGTTAGTATACGTAACTGTTAATTCTATCGTTATCGGCGGCGACTCAAATCAAAAATTCAATCCACATACAAACGTCCATGTGGCCATGGGAATGTGCACCGACTTTTTGCCACGAGATATTTTTTTTTAGTAACTTTCCTTTTCTTTTTTCTTTCCCCTTCTCTTCAGCCACTTTTGCCAGTTGTTATACCGTTGAAGGCAACTCACCACCATAGTATATAAGCATTGGTAGGCTATGTTTGATAAATGTCTCGTACTGTATTTACCTGATCTATATGGACTGGGGTTATTGAGATGGTCCTGAGCACCGTCTTTTATCAGTAAGGTAAGCGTCTGACGTGATGGATGTTTACTCTGAAGGGGAATAACTTCTGTCGCTCTAAAGAAAGTGATCAAATACGCTAAGCAAGATACACAAGATAAATAAATGAAAGTGGAAACTGGGGGTACCTAGTAGGGGTAGTAGCTACCTTAGTAGTAGGAAACATGATACTGTACAAAGAAGAAATACAGACGACGAGTTTTGAAGGATATGAGACAATTTTTTCCCTTTTTTTTTTTTTCTTTTCTTTTTTTTGCCTTCTCAAGAAAACAAACGTTAAACAAAACACTATTTACGCCCTCCTAGTGACAAGTTTCTTCACCGACTTACTGAGTGTCCGATCTAAGATATATTAAATTTCTTCACGTTTTTAAAATAGAAAATATAGAAACCATGGGTTTTCTAATTATTTTTCTGATTGTAATAATTATTTCTACCCTATGGTGTCTTTGCCTGACCAGATTTGTTTACTGCCTAATACTTTTAAAACAAAATTACAAAAATACCCAACCTGAAGGTAAGGTAATCGACCCCAGGTCGTAATTGAAATGTAACAGCTCCTACGGCAGACCGCTGTGACAAGCTGCGACCGCCAACCACAGCCAAAGTGATCACCAGCCTTTACCCGCCCCCTCTCACTCTCACTCGCAATCTTACTCTCTTTCTCTTCTTCTCTTTCTCTCTCTTCTTTCCCTTCTCTCCTCCCATCCCACCTTCTGGTATCAAGGCGTTGTCCTTGATTTATTGCCATTTGTTTCCACTTTTCTATTCCTTCTCCCTTTTTCCTCTTTTTGTTGGTTTTTCACCCGCCTGTATTTCCTTGTCAGCCTCTTTCAAAGGCACGTCAAGTCACCACCTCATCTCCTTTTTCCCTCTCCGCCTTTTTGCCTTTCTGGTCGGTCGGAGCCCCAACGGTCGACATCACCGCTATCTCACTCACCTCTTCTCACCCGCCTCTTTCTACAAGGTTTGTCAGACTCTCACTGTTTTTGGTCCGGACTGGTCGTTACACACCTGTTCTGTTTCTTGTATTTTCCGGTGCTTCCCTGCCAGGCATTCCCTGCTACTAGCCGGTCCTAGCCTCAGTGGGCTAAATTCACTGCTAAGTAACTACGCGCCGAAGGCAGCCTGCTTCATCGTGACCATTCTCTTCCCCTCCTATCCTAGCCTCATTCTGTGTTCATCCTGCAGAGTTTCTTGTTTAAATACGTCCTTGATTACTTTGAATTCGGTCCATGCAACCCTTTCAAATTGGTATCTGACAATCCGACCTACAGTCTTTGTGATCTTACAGCCACAGCCGTCAGCTGTGTGTGCTTTTACTCAAGATGACGACCATGGTACGTAGTCTACTGCTCTACCTTTCTGTCGAGCATTCATGTCTAAGAAAGGCTCCTAGGATTTGCGTGTCGGTAACAAATACCGCATTGGCCGCAAGATTGGAAGCGGTAGCTTCGGTGATATCTATCTTGGTGCGTATTATCTCTTTGGAATGGGAATAATCAGGCTGGTCAACATTGACTGACAGAGCTTAAGGAACTAATATCATCTCCGGTGAGGAGATTGCTATTAAGCTCGAGAGTGTCAAGGCTAAGCACCCCCAACTTGAGTACGAGGCTCGTGTTTACAAGTCTCTTGCTGGTGGTGTTGGCATTCCATTCGTCCGTTGGTTCGGTACTGAGTGTGACTACAATGCTATGGTTATTGACCTTTTGGGTCCCAGTCTGGAGGACCTATTCAACTTCTGCAACCGCAAGTTCTCGCTCAAGACCGTGCTTCTCCTGGCTGATCAACTCATTTCCCGCATCGAGTATATCCATGCCAAGTCTTTCATTCACCGTGATATTAAGCCCGACAACTTCCTCATGGGCATTGGCAAGCGCGGAAACCAGGTCAATGTGATCGATTTCGGTTTGGCCAAGAAATATCGTGACCCTAAGACGCACTTTCACATTCCTTATCGCGAGAACAAGAACCTTACCGGAACTGCCCGTTACGCCAGTATCAACACTCACTTAGGTGTTGAACAGTCTCGCCGTGATGACATGGAGTCTCTGGGATACGTCATGCTCTACTTCTGCCGTGGCACTCTCCCTTGGCAGGGACTTAAGGCTGCCACTAAGAAGCAGAAGTATGACCGCATCATGGAGAAGAAGATGACCACGCCCACTGAGGTCCTTTGCCGTGGATTCCCCAACGAATTCTCGATCTACTTGAACTACACCCGTTCCCTGCGTTTCGATGACAAGCCCGATTACTCGTACCTCCGCAAGATTTTCCGTGACCTTTTCGTCCGTGAGTCTTTCCAGTACGACTACGTTTTCGACTGGACCGTCTACAAGTACCAGAAGAATGCCGCCATGATTGTGGATGCCAGCAACAAGAAGGATAAGGAAGCGGAGGAACAGCAGCGCCGCCAAGGCGTGGCAGCTGCTGCACCGATGGGCACCCCTGGTGCTGCTGCTAAGCCTGGTGCTATTTCAAGCCAGCGCCGCAAGGTCATCGAACGTGGAACTCTCGACAACACCCCCGACACCAACCGTGCTGTGGGAGGGAGTGACAGGATGTGAGTATCTGAAACCTAGGTTCCGTGTAGGGAACCCCTTTCCTCTGCGTTTGGTTATTTGCCTTGACCCCGCACGTAGAGGTCGCCTTGAATCCTAGAATCTGACTAATCTCATAGTCTTCGGCGTTAGGCTGCGTTCTGCTTCCAAGGTTGCTGCTTCAGGTGCTTATGGGCCTGCCGGTAGCCGCTCGAAGCGGGACGATGGATACGGTGCTCAGTGGTACTAATTATGCAACATGGCAGGGTAGCTCAGCTGTTCTCCCTTGGTGATAGTTTGGCTTCCTGCATGTTGGCTTCCCATTATCTGAAGAACCCAAGAGCATCGTGATGCTGGTAACCTTTTGCCACCTGCAGCAAATCCTCCGACTTCTTTCGCCTTGGGTCTCCATTCTTTCTTTTTTTTATTTTACTTCATTGCATTCTCTGTTAGCCCGTCATCCCGTTTTCGATCGTCTTCCGGTTTTCGCCGTTTCGATCCGCCGCGTTTTTTCCCCGATCTGCCTGCTGGTTTATCTGGTCTTCCCCATCGTGCCTGAGCCACCGTAATCGAACATTCGAATGCGTACTCAGAAACATTACATTCGATTTGCACATGGGAAGTCCTTGGTAGAAAGAAACAAACGCTATTACTGTGGCTATTTTACGTCATCCCTCCTCGGTCGTCATGTTTGTCCAGGATCTTTAAGCCATCTTTTGAAACCGACCGGGAGGGTTAGACCGAAGGAGATGCAAAATGAAAATCTTCTGTCTCTTGACAGAACGAGGGGTGTCTTTCAGTTGATCCCTGCCACTGAAGACCCTCGGATATATCATTCATTGTTTTGTTTCATTTTCCCTCCCCTTGCTCTGCAATCGTCTTTTGATCTCCTGTTTTACACATCTCAGCATTCCAGACTGTTATTATGTTATTATCGACGCAACATTGGGGACGATGAGTATGAAGGTATGACGCGTGAAGGATGTGTGGGAAGTGGGTAATTTTGATGTCCAAGGGTGAACGTTCAATACTTGAACATGCCGTACGAGAGCTGGATGGCACGGGTGATGGTATTCGACACGACGATTTGGACATTAGGAAAGCACGTCTCTACAATCGGTAACTGGCGACGGAAAATGGCTAGGGTCGCTTCCGGGGTGGTATTGCGTCGTGCGAGGTTGTTTTCCTTTGTGATATTTTATGTGTTCCGTTGCTTTCGCTCCTCTCTTGTTATGTGAAGAAGACTGGACAACATTCGAAGGTAACCGGGCTGCCCGGGGACGTTGAACAACTGAAACCAAATGGCGCCGGTTGTCGTGAAGAAGGAACAGCGGTTGGGGTTTCTTCGAATGCGCCTGTCTTGTATTCAACATATAATCCAAGTTGTTGCTCCTGAATAATCATTCTCCGTAATCAACTTCTCTCACCCTGTAGCTTTCAGATCCTGGCTTGGTGTAGGAAAACGAGACCTGGTATTATTGTACCCAGTATACAACTATATTCTCGTACCTTGGACCCTTATAGTAGGTAAGGTATGGGGTGTCAACTGGATTACTGTTTTTATCTGGGTACCATCGGAGATTGGCGGCTAGACTAGGCCTAACAAAACGGTAACTAGGGTCAATGACATGGGGCCTCACTTGGGCCTAACAGCTTCCCTTGAGGATGTGAATGGAATGGCCGTATGTGGCTGGATGGAGACCAATATAACCTGAATTGGACGAATTCGACTGGAGTAGGAATTGTATATCAATACCCAATACTCGTTACCTCCGGATACAGGGCAACAAACAGAAAGGGAAGTTCATGTAATACGGGGAGTGTAAAAATACACGGATAAATCCAAGGCCCAATGATGAATGCCCACACCCCCGGGTTTTTTAGGCCCGACCTTATTTTGCGATCACGACTTTTGTTCCTCTTCAAACCCCTTAATGTATGTTCAGGAGATCGCTCGAGAATCTAAGAGATGGAGTACCCATACTATCCCAATCCCCAATCCCAACCGTTCTCTTTATACAACTTGCAAGGAGCGCCGCCCCTTGGTCAGAACGACGATGACAACCACCATCGAAACCCACAGACCGATGACATCCAGGATACTCTCGCCTCGTTGGTCCGCATTCCTCTTGTTGGTTGGCTAAAGCTGAGTCCTGTTTCACTGACCGTGGCAAGGGGATACAGACTTATCAGTCCTTCGACCCCTCGTTTCGCTTCCAGAACCCCGCCGCATCGTTCGGACATCCGCCACACTCTCCACCCGAGTCATTCTCGAAGCATTCCGCCTCTGGCAGTGATATCTTCGGCCAACCGACCGAGCCGACGTCGTTAGATGGAGAACCAGGCTTCGGTCGGAGTAGTAGCGAGGAAAAGGAGTCTATGACTCCGGCGCAATCGAAGCGCAAGGCCCAGAACAGAGCAGCGTAGGTTCAACACCTTCTTTGGAGTTTTTGTCGCGAGAAAACGACAACTCTCTCGGTGAGGGGTCGCCGGCCCGACTAACCTTCTTCTCTTGATGCGGTAGTCAACGCGCGTTTCGTGAACGAAAGGAGCGACATGTGCGAGAGTTAGAGGAAAAGGTTAACAACCTGGAGCAAGCATCATCCAACTTAGTGGCAGATAACGAACGCTTGAAGCGAGAGTTAGCCCGGTTTACAACAGAGAATGAGATCCTGCGGGCAACTTCGGGCTCCGGTGGAACACATAACCACTCAGATGAGCCAACCACGACAGGGCCGTTGAAATATACGCCCACAGATTTTTACTCCGAGCTGGTGCCAAAGGGCGAATCATCCCGTCTCCATCGAGTGTCAACCTGTGCGAAGACAGGGGAGAAATTACTCGGTGCCGGCGCTACGTGGGACCTAATCCAAGGGCATGAGCTATTCAAGCGCGGTTTAGTAGACATCAAAGATGTCTCGGAACGACTGAAGAACATAACTCAGTGTGATGGACAAGGCCCTGCTTTCCCCGAGGCCGAGGTGCTCAAGGCGCTCGAAGCAAGCGCGGCTGCTAATGATGATGACCTTCTCTGAGTTTTGAAATCTACGATGTGACGTTTGCTCTTTCGAATCTGGGTACGGTGTGTTTATGGCGCTAGTTGATTGGCGTATTCGGTTTAGGGTCATAATGATTGTTATATCACTTCCTACTGGAATTTGGGAGATTTCTTATAAATAGAATACGAGGAACTGTGTTACTGATGCTAAAAATGACCACTACTGAGGCCGTTTACGGCTGCATTTCCCACATATAGGCGGCCCTCAAGGACCTGACATAATTCCCCTCTTGTTTACCCAGCTCATTCCTTTTTCTTTCCCTCCCATTTTTGCTTATTATTTTATTTTTTTTTAGAAAATCTTTTTTTAACATCACAACCAGAGAATGCCTCATGGGACATGGTGACATCTGCGGCCGCCTCCCCGGCAACTGAAAGCCAGTTGTTGCTAATATCAAGCTTCAAATATCCATCATGTCTTACAACCCCGATCCACCTGCCCGTGAAGGGATGCGGTATCATGGGGGCCCATCGTACCCTAAAATGTCCTTATCTCCCGTGCTCATACTGTCGCGCATATGGGCACATCATTGACGATTGCCCGTCTTGTCCTGTGTGTGATTTATAGTATGTCATCGCAAGGGGCATGAACGTTCATGTAGCCAAAGAAAAATGTTTCAGCATGAGATACCGGGATCTGCATCACGGAAGCGTGGGAGCTCAGGACCAAGTCAACAACCCAGCAAACAACAGACAGTTTCATTTACCTCTCAATGCATTTCACCAAGCCCCCAATCACAAGCCGCTGAGGCGAATGGAGATAATCTAGTAAGGGCATCAACGTCTTCTGTTATACTGAACGCTAAAAGAGGTCCAGGAGTCCTATCTCATCACTCCAGTAATCAAGTTTCCAACTCTTTGTCAAACGATAAGCACAATCATGGACTACCTGGTGAAGCAAGCTGATATTAATTTGAGACATATTCCATACAAGCATGTTATCGGTACAGTAGGTAAGGAAGAGCTTATCGATGTACTTCTTAATGGCATTTGTCCAGAGATTACGACGTTGGAAGGACAGATTATAATAACTGAGAGGTAAATATTGACTTCCAGTATGGACTCATCTTGCAAGTAGCTCTGACAGTCCGGATCAGGCTGGTTGCCATCCATAAGAAGCAACTCCGATATGCAGTAGCCCTCTGGCGCCGAAACAGTGGCTATTTGGACTTTGTCCTAGATGATCGAAACAGTGCCTACTGGCGGGCTTATGTAGGCCAGTCCAGCAATCCTACCCAACGAATGGGTCAGCACATAAGATGCATACGTGATTGCAATCGTGAGAGCTTGCACTACTATATTATATGGATGGGGGCTCCGTTCAGATCAGCTAATTTCATCCGGCTGTGGTCAATACCATATATCGCTATGGACCTACCTGAGCTGCAGCTGATTCGCCAGAATATTCTAGAACTACTAGTAGCAATGTGCCGTGCTTTTCAATCCCTTCCTCCATCAAGCTTAACTCAAATTTTTGGAGAAGATGCGGACAACCCTAACACATCTGTGGGACTTAACATCGTTTAACCTTTGTTTCAGGAATTGAATCTACGAAAGGAGGCATGTCAACACTTTACCAGGCAAATAGAAAGCTCTTCAGACCCCGAAATCCGGCTGCGGCCGAGTTATAGGTCAAGGGAGAAGGCTGGGGAAAGGAAGACGAAGAAAGCAGAGAGTGCCCCTGCAAAAACACCAAAGCCAATGATGAGACTAGAAGATTTCTGCGCTGCCATCTTGTCTGCCGTCGCAGCAAAACCTGATCTTGCGCATCTTCAACTACCGGATTTCCATAAAGAAGCCGACCGAGAGGATCGTGTCGTAGACCACATTGACTTCGCCCAGTAAAAGGCACTCCCGGCGGTCGAAATCTGGAACCAGACTAGGGCTGGTGAAGTCCCCAAACTGACGACGCCAGTTGGAAGCATCCATGCATATATTGGCATAGCGCTGGACCATATTCTTCTGGGAAATACAAATGAAGACTCGCTCCTCAGTCTATTACCCTGGGGTATCAAAACCTTACAAATTCCTTAATCTGGGTCATACTTTGCGCTATTATGAGGCTGCTTCTCTGTTTCAGCAAAGGATAATGCCTATCAGTGCAGGAGAATTCGAAGCCCTTCGCGATTTTAACCACGACTTAATACAACAAAGCCGGCTGAAGGTGATAATTCTGTGCGGATCTTTTGACCCGTACATTCTGATCCCGAAGAATATTCCCAGCATTACTGTTGATTTCGAAGGGTTCAATTTCAATATTTTCCTTGAGGTCAATGCTCAGTGTATCACCCGGATCTACGCACAGTCACCTACCTCCATTGAGATGCTCCTAGAGAATAAGTGGCGAAATGCTAGACAGATAGGCATTCTTTTCAGGTTCGCAGCGCTTATCACAGAGACACCAGGGATCTGGGCAAGTTTTCAGAGCACTGCAATCACGACTACCGAGATAGTCAGACTATATTATGACGAAAGGCTAGTAAGTCCTGAGACAAGGTCGGCTACTACGATTGATACTCTGAGCTCCAGCATCCGGTTCTGGCTCTACACAAAAGGGTTTAAAAAGGATGAAGATATTATTCGCCTCCAAGAAAGAGGATCCAGCTTAGCTGAAGCTCTTCTGATGCTAATGACACTTCTTCCATACCGACCGGCACATATAGCAGGCAGTTCCCAGAAGAAAACTATCATTCCGAGCCTGACCAAAGGACGAGGCATTTTGAAAGAAACAAGCCTGAGCATGTCATGAATTTACTTGTTGAGCTCAACGCGGATTGGTTTCCAGACGGGACATACTCGAAGAAACGACTGTCTACACTCGAAAAAGAAATAAACACCGACGATCCGAATTCTTATCTTAGGAACACATCGGTGAAGTAGAGAGCGCTCTCATGCAAGTCTCGTCAGAAGGTCCGCTAGAGGACTCTACTATTGAGGCCGCCAAGGAAGTCAGGGTTAGGCGAATACTGGATGCAGAGGTGCAGCTTGCCGAAGACCCAGATTCTGTCCTTGAGATGGCCGAAGAACAACTCAACGAGACAGATGATACTCCGCTGCATGCTCTAATTCAAAGTTCATCGCGTATTCCTGGTGACTCTAGTACGCGGGATACCATATCTGAACCGATATTCAAAACACGAATACAACTGCTCAATGGTGGTCGCTATTATAACGGATGCAGAAGGCAAAATCTGAAAGTCGATATATACTTGCCGATGAACATTATTTGCTACAATAAATGTTAACAAATATCCAGAACAAAGTCTCCTGGTTCGAGCAGAACTCAAACAACCCGGTGAAAGACATCTCAATTGTTGAGCTCGAAAGGTTTTAGATAGCGATGCAGGCGCTCGTCTTGCGATTGCCGCTACCAGAGAAGAAGGTGGCCGATTTATTACTGTTTATACAACCAACCATGGTTTCTGGGCTCCATACAAAGCCAACACATTTGTGGATTGGCTGAACGGCATTGGTTACGTACAGATCTGCCGGACACCGAGAAGATACCTTCATTTCCAACCTCAGTTACTAGAAGGTTTACCTGAGGAGCTGAAGTACTTTGTGAATGGGGGTTGCACAGACGATAAAGGGGTTAAATTTAAGAATGAGTTCGAGAGGGAGAGCAGCAGAAGGCAAAGATAGTGATGTCTTATGCTAAGAGATATCCTTGTTTACAGAATCCAAGCACGACGGGACATCTACATATGTACTTAACATTATGAAGTGGTTCTCGACCAGAAGGATAGACGCAGTTCCTCGAATCAAAAGAGGAGAAGAAACATATGCACTTTTTTTCTTCCCCAAATGTACGTTGGACCCTTAGACGACATCCTTGCTTTTGTGTTGAGACAGAGAAACATGAGCTTTACTCAAGACGAGTTTCAGAAATCAAACTTTCACTAATGGCAAGGTGGTCGAGTGGTTAAGACGTAAGACTTGAATCCCTCTTGGATGATATCTTATCCCTTCGGGGTCGCGCGTTCAAATCGCGTCCTTGTCGTTTTTTGCTAAACTTTTTTCAGTTCTTCCTCAACAACGGTGGCTACCGCTCACAGGCGGTAGGTAAAAGACACTTCGATGTGATTTTCTTATTAGTGTGTTAAGCGCTGTTTACAACTTGGTCGTATATGACAAGACTTCATACTACCCTAAGGCCGCAAAATCCTTCATCCGAGGCAAGGTGGTCGAGTGGTTAAGACGTAAGACTTGAATCCAACATTGGATGTTATCTTATCCCTTCGGGGTCGCGCGTTCAAATCGCGTCCTTGTCGATGTCTTTTTTCCTTTTTTTGGTACCTTCCCTTCCCCTTGCCCTTCCTTTCTCCACATTTTCTTTCCTGGAATATCTTATACCTCTCAGTTCTACTCCGTACGTTTCAACACAAAATAGATAAATAAGGTTCAGACTATCGCGAATAATCTGAAAGCTATATTTTCAACTTCATTTAACCTTCTACTTGACCCCGTGGATCGTGTGTATCAGAACAGAATCGATGCCATGCTGTACCTGTTATGTCGACAATTCTGGAAATTGGTCGACATCCATCTTCGATCTCGGATCGTCCACTCCAATGCATGAACAATGGAAGTAAGGCTCGGGAATGATTGTTAGTACAAATAATAGGTCTCCAGGACCACTTAGCTGCTTAGGAACTATTAACAATACAAATAACAGTACATGCCAGATGTGGGTTGATTGATAAGGAAGATAATAGGATGCACAGAGATGCTGCGCATTAAGGAGAAGCATCACGCATGAGCGATGAGGTGATCATGTCATTCTACTGTTGCAGTAGTATTATAGTAGCTTTTAGTCCCAGTCGTCATCATCGTCTTCTACCCGGGACTGCTTTATCTTCGATGGACGATTGTCATCTGAGTCGTCAGATCGCTTCTTCAAACGTACATCACTCTCCTTGAGGGCGCCTAAGTCTAGGAGCATTCTTTCGAGATCTATCGAGGCATAGACATTAATACCGAGACTTGACACCACATAGAGAAAAGCTCCTCTACTGATGGACATGGGTATGGCCTTACCTTCGATCGTCGTCCGAGGACCCTTAAGTTCCTTTAGTGTTACGAGCTGTCTTCTTATCTCACCATCCTTATACACTAAGATTGTCGGGGTGTTTCTATCCGGATACCCTTCAATGCACATATTGCCGCGAATCTCGCAGAACTTGATGTCGCCAAACTTAGTAGCCAACTGCCGCCATAGCTCCGTCAAGCGCTGCGACTCAACATTGCCGCTCGTTGATGAGGACAGATGCACAAGTACAAAGGCGTTATTAGATGCCTCAGTCACCTCTCTTGCGTAGTCGACTTTCTGCAGAGGGTAGACTTGGTTGTATAGACTGGTTTTCTGGAGCGTGGAGAGCTCGGCAAGACGTTGCTTTCTGCATTCCACATTAGAGATCGGATCTTACCAATATGAAGCCGTAAACGTCGGCGGCATCATACCTGTATTGTTCAAGGAACTCTTCATCCTCTTCGTCCTCAAGCTCGTCTAGTTCGTCTAAATCCTTATCTTCTAGTCGATTCTCGTAGGCTTTGCGCTCCGCTTCAACAAGAGCTTCTTGAATGAGAGGTTCAGGGTCCTGAGGCTTCTCCGGGATAATTCCGTGTTTGCGGAGAATATCGTTCCTGCGGCGGGGTGAGTATTAAGATTGTATGGGGTGGGAATATGGTGGGGGCGCAGAGGCGGACCATTCTGTATCTTCGTTGGGGTTGACTTCAACTTGCATGGTGGAACGATGTATAGCAAGGCGCAATAATCGAAATAGAGAATGTCAAGGGGGGGGAAATGAAGCAAACCAAGTGAGTAGAAAGAAGTACGTATCAGTCAACCATATATTTACGATCTCAAAACGGTGATGATGCATGCCGCGTGTTTGCATGGTTTGCAGTATCAGCCACGGTGGCTTTAAGCCCACAGACGCGGAAGGCCTAAGTAGACTAAGGCCACCTGGAGATTGTTGGATGCCATCTGGACCTCCTCGTCCGACGCTTTGGCAGAACATCCATTCATTCTTCCCTGGGACGGGTTTCTCATATCCTCCACTCAACTTCGTCCCCATATTCGCTCCCTACCCCGTTCCCCTGCCTCTCCTGGAAGATAATGAGGGTGCGCTAATCGCTGTTTCACCGCCTGCACGACCTACAACTAAACATTGGGACCTGACCCGCCCTTACTCGATCATTGACTCCGACGTCACTTCAACGGGGTTTAGTTCCTATACACAGAGTGTGAGATAGAGAGTCTCAGCTGCTGCAATTCCTGCAGCCCGTCATCATGAGCTACATGAAGAAAGATGAAGACGCCGACCAGACTATGATCAAGCTGGATCGGACCTCCGTCTTCCAAGATGGTAAGGGACTACCACAAACAATCCCCCCGGGGTCGCATTAAGTGTACAGGGTCCCTGTGGGCTAAACTTCCTTATTTATCTACTTCTAGCCCGACTGTTCAACACCTCCCCGATCTCTCCGCGACAATGTCGTACCCTTCTGACCAAGATTGCGGTCCTCCTTTTCACCGGGGAGCAATTCCCCACGAACGAGGCGACTACGCTGTTTTTCGGTATTTCCAAGTTGTTCCAGAACAAAGACCCATCGTTGCGGCAAATGGTATATCTCGTTCTGAAAGAGCTTGCCAACACTGCCGAGGATGTTATTATGTCGACTAGCATTATCATGAAAGATACCGCCGTCGGTAGCGATGTGCTCTACCGGGCGAACGCTATCCGTGCTCTGTGCCGCATCATCGATGTAAGCGCATTGCCAACCTTCTTATCGCTGAGTGTGAGCTAATTGTTTGTTGGAAAAGGCGACGACTGTGCAAGGTATTGAACGATTGATCAAGACCGCAATTGTTGACAAGACCCCCTCGGTCTCCTCCGCCGCCCTGGTCTCTTCGTACCACCTCCTCCCGATCGCCCGTGATGTTGTCCGCAGATGGCAGAGTGAAACACAGGAAGCAGCATCGTCCGGAAAGCAATCGACTGGATTCCTTGGGTTTGGTGGCAGCTCTACCCATGCCATCTCGCAGTCGAACTTCATGACACAATACCACGCAATTGGCCTTCTCTATCAGATGCGCTCGCATGATCGTATGGCTCTTGTGAAGATGGTTCAGCAGTATGGTGCTGCTGGTGTGATCAAGAGCCCGGCTGCACTTGTCCTGCTGGTGCGGTTAGCAGCGAAGTTGGCAGAAGAAGACCAGAGCTTGAGAAAGCCTATGATGCAGATGCTTGATGGCTGGCTCCGACACAAGCACGAAATGGTCAACTTCGAGGCGGCGAAGGCTATCTGCGATATGAGGGATGTTACCGATGCCGAGGCCTCTCAAGCTGTCCATGTCCTGCAATTGTTCCTGTCCTCTCCCCGGGCGATCACCAAGTTCGCAGCTATCCGCATTCTTCATAACTTCGCAACATTCAAGCCCCACGTGGTGAACGTTTGCAACCCTGACATCGAATCGTTGATCTCAAACTCCAACCGCTCCATTGCTACTTTCGCTATTACCACGCTGCTCAAGACTGGCAACGAGGCCAGTGTCGACCGTCTGATGAAGCAGATCTCAGGCTTCATGGCTGATATCACCGACGAGTTTAAGATTACTATTGTTGAGGCTATTCGCACGCTGTGTCTGAAGTTCCCCAGCAAACAGGCCGGCATGCTTGCATTCCTGAGCGGCATTCTGCGGGATGAGGGTGGATATGAGTTTAAGCGGAGCGTCGTCGAGAGCATGTTTGATCTGATCAAATTCGTTCCTGAGAGTAGGGAAGATGGTAGGCCTTCCCGTGCCCTTGATGTTTCGTAATGCTAACGTAAATCAGCTCTCGCCCATCTCTGTGAGTTCATTGAAGACTGTGAATTCACCAAACTGTCCGTTCGGGTTCTGCACCTTCTTGGTGTAGAAGGCCCCAAGACTTCCCATCCTACCAAGTACATTCGCTATATCTACAACCGAGTTGTTTTGGAGAATGCAATTGTACGAGCTGCTGCGGTGACAGCCTTGGCCAAGTTTGGCGTTGGACAGAAGGACCCAGAAGTGAAGTCAAGCGTTTCCGTTCTTCTCACACGCTGTCTTGATGACACTGATGATGAAGTGCGTGATCGTGCTGCTCTCAACCTCCGTTTAATGGCCGAGGAGGATGAAACAGCGTCGCTTTTCCTTAAGAACGGTACGCTTAGTGGATGAAACTTCTCTGGCCTGATTTGTTTGCTGACGGATCTAGACTCTATGTACTCTCTTTCCACATTCGAGCACCAGCTCGTGATGTACGTGACATCGACGGAGAAAGAGACGTTTGCCGCGGCATTTGACGTCTCTACGGTCCCGGTTGTTACTCAGGAGCAAGCCCTGGCCGAAGAACGGACCAAGAAACTCACGACTGCAACCCCCACACTCAAGGCTCCATCCACCGGTCCCCCGAAGAGCAAGGCCAATGGTGTTGCCGAAGCCGCGACCGTTGCTGCCACCCAGAAGTACGCCGAGGAGCTTATGCGGATTCCAGAGCTCAAGGAGTATGGCACCTTGCTCAAATCTTCTGTTCCCGTCGAACTTACCGAAAGCGAAACGGAGTACGTCGTCACGGCGGTCAAGCATATCTTCAAGGAACACATTGTGGTGCAGTACGATATCAAGAACACTCTGCCGGATACTGTTCTAGAGGATGTCACTGTTGTTGCAACGCCCTCCGAGGAAGATGTTTTGGAAGAGGAGTTCATCGTGCCCGCCCCCAAGCTTGCGACAAACGAGCCCGGAATTGTATATGTTACGTTTAAGAAACTTGCTGGCGAGAACAGCGTACCAGTCACATCATTTACAAATATTCTGAAGTTCACTAGCAAGGAGATTGATCCTACAACTGGTGAGCCTGAGGACAGCGGATATGAGGACGAGTACCAGGTCGAAGATCTGGAGCTCACGGGCAGCGATTATGTTATTCCCACTTTTGCTGGCAGCTTCGATCATGTCTGGGAGCAGACTGGTGCAAACGGAGAGGAAGAAAGCGAAACTCTGCAACTTAGCAACATGAAGGGCATATCAGGTAGGCCATTTCCTAGCCAATTTTGTCAAGTGCCAAGTACTAAGCATACCACAGATGCCACCGAACAATTAATCTCCGCGCTATCTTTGCAACCTCTTGAAGGAACTGACGTCGCCCTCAGCAACAGCACACACACGCTCAAGCTATTCGGAAAGACGGTATCAGGTGGCCGGGTTGCAGCCCTGATCAAGATGGCATTCTCCAGCAAGACCGGTGTCACAACGAAGATTACCGTTCGGGCGGAGGAGGAAGGCGTCGCACCGGCTGTGATTGCATCCCTTTCCTAAGGTTGTAAATTGTAAATGGTAATGGAGGAGGTTGTCATGTCAGGAGACCTACCCCTGCAACGAGTCCTGCATTATGAGATCGGACTTGTTTCGTTTGTTCCTTTCCCAATTTTTGATAATCCAGATGTCAAGCTAGATTTGATGGCTTCTCTTTTATTCTATCCCCTTTAACCCTTTCTTTGTAGGTCTCTAAACTGCTTTTCTTTTTTTTTTTTTTCATTTCATACTTCTGATCATGTTCCCTTGCTGCTCTTCGTGACGATTCCATCTCATAGCCTTTATTGTAGTTGTCAAAAGCGGTTTTATCCATGTTGATTTGTTAGATAACGCTACTTGAATCGTCGGTTCTGGGATCATGACAATACGTTAATATGGATTTACTACATACCCTTCATGATTCATGTAGAACAAAAAACTGGTAGTACTTCGGAACAGACGCTTTCAGGCAACAATCTTTCAAACCGCCGAATTAGAAACTTTTGTCTTGGTCTAGTCATAAATCGTAGCTAGGCATATATGCATATATGCATATGGTGCAATGTATTAATAAATAAAATCAAATATAATAGACGCCCACCTGCTCCCTATCATCCCGACTCTCTGCTCCAGGCTGAGAACTACGCTGCTTATCCCGTTCCTGGAGAGCCTCATCAATCTCCTCATCCTCTTCCAGGCGCTCGTCCGTGACCAGATCCTCCACGAACCCGACAGAGCGAAGACTCGCCAGCCCCGTATCGAGGGCACTTATCAATGTCTTCGTCTCGAAGTTTAACTTGAGGTCCACGCACGGAAACCCGAATTCTAGTACTTCTAGCGCCAATGGCGGAGACACGTGGCATAAGATGATGAAGAACGAATCTTCCACCATGTCGCCCGGTACGCTTAGGAAGTTCAGATTCGGTAGAAAGGCGGGTATAGCGTTGACGGATTCCGGGGTTAGACCGCGGTTTGAGCCGGAGATGGTGAGGCGTTGGAGGCTTTCGCCTAGCTGCGGACTACTCATGAGGCTGCTCAGGTTTGAGACGGAGAGTTCGGAACAATTTTTCAATGTTAGACTGGTGAGCGCTGGGGGCCAGGAGAAGGTGGGGATTAGGAGGGGGTTGAAGCGCCCGCTTATCTGGAGACGGTGGAGGGAGGGGGGCCATGGTACTTTAGTAGATTCGGGGTCGGTCAGGATGGTTGACTGTGGAAGGCGAAGGGTGACAAGTTTGTGGAGACGGCTTATGGCCTGTTTGAGGTTGAGGAAGGGGATTGCTTCGTGGACGAGTGCGAGGTCGAGGTTTCGAAGGTTGGTGCATTTTGATAGCGCTGGGAGGCTGCTTATGCTGGACTGGAGTGTCAGTTATCTTCTGAATGATATATATATATATATATATATATATATTATAGTCTGAGTGCACAGGTATACGTACGAGAAGGTTAGGGTGGGGGCGACGAATACTTCTAGATTCTCTTTGACTCGGCCCAGAAGTCTCGCTGTGAGGCTGTTAGAGCTATGATAGACGAGGTGACTGAGGTTTAATCGATGTACGAAAGTGCCGAGATTCAATTTGTTCTTCCGTGCACCAATTGGCGGACTGATGGTTTCCGTGAACCTCCTGAAGGAGACCCCGGAGTCTACTCGAGGCCTTTCATAGAGGGGTGCGATAGCTGCGGAGTACCATTGGCGTGATACCAAACAGCAGGCATGGAGGGTCTGTTGGCGATCGAGCTCATTCCCGTCGACGTAGGAAATGATCTGCACAACGACTTCCGTGGGAAGATGAATATGGCGAGAGGTTTGCATCGGGGGCGTTCAGATCGCTGATTTCCATGGTAAGGTTGTCTGGACTCTGAAGCCGATCTTTGTGGTGGAAGTGGAGTCAGTGTGGGAGAGACTAAATAAGTAGTATTAAATGGCTTTCTTTTTTTCGGAGAAATGATATGATATCATGGGGGTCGGTGGCCGATAAGGAGATAAATTGCCGACAAGTCGTGACCACTTACTTCAATAGCCTGACTCCGAGTAAACAATACCTGGACTCCTCAGCATCTCTCATCAGCTTTTGTTTACCACTCCTCCAACCCATATTTTCTCCCTTCCCTCCTCGTTATCCCTTTATTTCCTGATCAGAATGCGGCCTCAAGGACTTTGTCGGTCCTTCGGTCTGCTTCATCGCGCGGCTACTCGTTCGTTCTTAGAGACCGGTACCGGTCGCCGATTCATTCAAACGACAACCACCTCCCCGCCTCGGGTCCCAGACTTTGCCTTCGCCTTCGAGTAGGTATACTATGCCTCCGAGCCCTGCCTCAGCTTCAATGTCTAATTGTGTGACTAGCATCGACGGTGTCCTTCTCAGATCCTCCAAGCCCATCCCCGGCGCTGCGGAGTCATTAGCTCTCCTCAAGGACCAAGGAATCCCCTTCATTCTCTTGACAAATGGCGGGGGCAAACATGAGACGGAAAGAGTGGCCGAAATCAGTGAGAAACTTCAGTTGCCATTGGACCCCTCGGTGATCGTCCAGAGCCATTCCCCTTTTGCGGAGCTCGTACGCGGACCGGATGAGCAGAGTTCTCTCGAAAACAAGTGCGTGCTAGTAGTTGGAGGTGATGGCGACCGCTGTCGACAAGTTGCAGAGAGGTACGGTATTTGCATGCACCAGAATAACATTAGCGATAAGGCGCAATTTTGACATAAGCCCCAGGTACGGCTTTAAAAACGTGATCACACCCGGTGATATCATCATGGCCAACCCGACGATTTGGCCTTTCTCGAATGTGTTCAAGGACTACTATAAATCATTTGCCAGACCGCTCCCCAACCCCCAAGATCCTAAAGATCCGACCAAGGGCCTCAAGGTTGACGCCATCTTTGTCTACAATGACCCGCGTGACTGGGCTCTAGATGCGCAAATAATCATGGATTTCCTACTTTCGTCGCAGGGTGTCCTCGGTACTCTCTCAGAGAAGAATGGACAGTCAGACTTGCCGAACCGGGGTTACCAGCAAGATGGGCAGCCACCTCTCTACTTCTCGAATCCCGATCTGTGGTGGGCTGCAGCCTACCATCTGCCGCGTCTCGGCCAGGGTGGATTCCGGGAAGCGTTGGAAGGTACCTGGGCTGCAACGACTGGGGGCCCGAGCAAAGGCGTTGAGCTTAAGAAGACGGTTATCGGAAAACCGTACCAGGGAACTTATGAATTTGCAGAGAATCAGCTCCTGCGGAACCGCTCCCGCGTTTTTGGCGCAGAGGCCAACATACCTCTACGGAACGTATACATGATCGGAGACAACCCCGAATCCGATATTCAGGGCGCCAATACATATAGGAGTCCTCATGGCAGCAATTGGCATTCGCTTCTCGTGCGGACTGGAGTCTACAGTGGAGGGGAACCTACATGGACACCAGATTCCATCCACGACAATGTCAAGAAGGCTGTCGAGTATGGCTTGAAGACCTCTAAATGGTAGGTTTAGAAACATCATGTAGAGGTGGTCATGCTTTCGCGAACCACTACCTCCAGACTAATGCTGCAGCTGTAGAAGCTTTAGCATATAGACAAGATCGGCAGCTGTTCCTCCTTAAACTCACCTTGAAACTTTTCATGCTGTTGAATGTATAGAGATATTATACTAATTTCATCCGTTCAATGATCTTTTTCTAATAAGATTCGAAGACATTGGAGCTCCTATCCTCAGCTTTAGTTCGGCCGTTCGATTAACTAGACAAATGCGCGGGATTGCCTTCCACATACTGCTCGCGCGTAAGACTTCGAAATTAGATACAACTTCAAGCATTAGGGCTAAATCTCTCCAGCGACGTCCACTACTTACTAGCCGCTGGCCTTACTCCGCAGCTCTGGGACCACTGCTGAGCGCATAACTAAGTGCCTGAGGCGTAAACATGGCGGCCCGAATCATGTGACACAGCCCCTCATAGGGCTTAGGGCTGCCTCCATGCGGTGGGGTGAGTCAAAGTATTGATTGATTGAAGGTGCAAAGCTCACGCCGTCATCGGTTTGATTGTAGACTTCCCCTTATCGCCTTCTTTCTCAAGGAACCATTCGCGCAACTAACCATGGCGGACTCCGAATTGCCCACTCGCCCTAAGCCCGAGGAGACCCCCGCCGCAGTCCCCGCGGAGGGTGCGGAGCAGAGCAAGAGCGCCAGCAAGAACGCTGCGAAGAAGGCCGCAAAGGAGAAGGCTAAGGCCGAGAAAGCTGCTGCGCGCGCCGCCCAGGAGAAGGCTCAGGCCGCTGCTGCTGAGGCCAACGACACCGCAAAGGATCTCTACGGCAATATCCCCGAATCTGAAGATGTCCTCCCCACCACGAAGTTCAATGATATCACCGACGACCAGTACGAGAAGGAGATCACCGTGGTCGCTCGTGTGGACAATGCCCGTGTTCAGAGTGCTAAGCTGGCCTTCCTGATGCTCAGACAACAGGGCAAGAAGGTGCAGGCTGTTATTGCCGCTGCGGAGCCTATCTCGAGACAGATGGTCAAGTACACCGGTGGATTGAACGTCAACTCCATTGTCCAGGTTACTGGTGTCGTCAAGAAGCCCCAGGTTCCCATTGCCTCTGCTACTCTCAGTAACCATGAACTGCACATCCGCAAGGTCTACATGATTGCTGAGGCCGCTCAACAGCTTCCTATGCAGGTCAAGGATGCCGAGAGACCGCCTCCGGAGACCACCGAGGAAGGCAATGAGGTTGACGCTGATGGTGTCCCCATCGTCACTCTTAAGACCCGTCTCGACAACCGTGTCCTCGATCTGCAGACCGAGACTAGCCAGGCTATTACCTGGATTTCCAGCGGCGTTGCAGAGCTGTTCGCAGAGTACATGATCAAGAGCGGCTCGCGGTGGATCTTCACACCAAAGCTGGTTTCTTCTGCTACGGAGGGTGGTAGCAATGTTTTCGAGGTCAAGTACTTCAAGAGGAACGGATACTTGGCACAGAGCCCGCAGCTGTACAAGCAGATGTGTATCGCCGGTGACATGGAAAACGTATTCGAGATTGCTCCTGTTTTCCGTGCGGAGGACAGCAACACCCACAGACATTTGACTGAGGTATGGCGGCAACAACCCCTGACATGACTCGTCTTAACATAGCTAACTGAGTTTATTCTAGTTCTCCGGTCTTGATTTCGAGAAGACCTTCCACAGCCACTACCACGAGGTCTTGGATTTCGCTGAAGACCTCCTCGTCTTCATTCTTACCCAGCTTAAGGAGCGCTACAAGGATCAGATCGCTGTTATCCAGAAGTCTTACCCCAAGGCTGGCGACTTCAAGCTCCCCAAGGATGGCAAGGCCCTGCGCTTGAACTACATGGACGGTGTCGCTCTGTTGAAGGAGGCTGGTGTTGACGTCTCCGAGCAGGAGCGATTCGAGAACGACTTCAGCACTGCCATGGAGAAGCAGCTTGGCCAGATCATTCGCGAGAAGTACGACACTGATTTCTACGTCCTGGACAAGTTCCCCATGGCCGTGCGCCCCTTCTACACCAAGGCCGACCCCAAGGATGCCCGCTTCTCCAACTCGTATGACTTCTTCATGCGTGGTGAGGAGATCATGTCCGGTGCCCAGCGTATTCACGACGTCAACGAGCTGATGGAGTCGATGCGCGCCAAGGGCATCAACCCCGACCAGGAGGGCTTCGAGGACTACCTGAATGCTTTCCGCCAAGGCTGCCCTCCCCACGCCGGTGGTGGTCTTGGTCTGAACCGTATTGTCATGTTCTTCCTGGGTCTGCCCAACGTTCGTCTGGCGACTTTGTTCCCTCGTGACCCCCAGCGTCTGCGCCCATGAGCGTTCTAGGGTTGATATAGACGGCTAAGAGTACTTTGTACCGGCATGAGATTAAAAACAAAAGATAATGGGACCATGAGACCGACATGTTATATTAGCACGTTCAGCGCTGCAAAATCCGTTTGTGTAGATGGTAGAAGAAGTAAATTCAATTCATTGAAATACAGATATTTAGAGGTGGCCCAAGCTCCCGGTGGGACCTCCCCAAACTTCTTTTCTAGTCCGCCGAGCCCAGTCCAGGAACATCTTCAAGAATACCCTCCCACCAAAGGCCATGTCCAGCATACCCGATAAGCGCAAACAACCCAGTTCTCTGACTGGCGGGACCCCTTATGCGAAGCGATCCCGTCCTTCTTACGCAGAGAAAGAAGATGAAGACGAGATGGCACCAACCGTAGCTCCGTACGAACGTCCTCGGAACAACCCGATCTACGGACAAAAGAGCGCTTTCCCCGGTCTCGACATCGCTGGTGACGATGAATTATTCTACGGTCCAGCAGAGGACGGTATGGAATATCTTCGCATGGTCCGGTAAGGTCACATTACTCCCTCTTTGCTTGATTATAACTGTACCTTTTTGTTGCCTTTCCGTTTGCTAAACGCCTGCGTGTATTTGCTTATCTGCAGCCCGCGATGAATGCGATTCGATTCTATCTCGATTCTGGAGCTAATGTTGGCCATACTGTGAAATAATAGGTCAGAGGCTAATTCACTACCTTTCCTGTTTACCGCGCCTCAACCGACAGATCCGCCCGTCGAGGAAACCAAACAAAGTGAAGCCGAACAGGACTCAACAGAAGGCCAACCCGAGGAAGAGAAGAAAAAGAAGGAGAAGAAGACAGATATCGCCCAGGAAGGTTTCTACGTGGATGGGGTGTATGTCGCGGCTCCCTCAACTACTCCGAAGAAGCAACCCGATACCACCGAACCAGCGCAATCAGATGCGCAATCGAGCTATTACAACCTTCTACACCACCGGTTCTTGCTCCTCCGGTCTATACTAAAATGTACGCCACCGTCGACGGCTATAGCGGCGCTAGATGAGTCGCATCCGATAAGTCTACCGCGACGCTCGAGAGACGCGCGCAAGGAGTGGCGGCGGCTGTTGTTGGTGGCGGACCCGCAGACAGTGCAGTTAGCGTGTATGGATATGGATAGTGTGCTCGGGGTGCTGGAGGTTATGGCGAAGCTAATGTCGGAGAATATAAGGAGTGGAGATGCGGAGCGTGTTCGACGGATCGGTGCTTGGGCTTGGGGTTTACTGGGCAAATGTCGCGATGTTGGGCAGTTGGCGTCTGAGGAAGTGGGTGATATTCGGGACTTGGGAAAGCGTGCTGCGAAGATCTTGCGGAAAATGCGGGAGGAGGATGAGAAGAAGCGCTCGGCTGGGACCGATGGGAACCTGTCGAGTGGAGAGTCGGATGATGAGCATCCAGCTGATGATCAGCCTCGTGCGGAGGAAGAAACGAAAGAGAATACGGAGGCACCCAGTGATCCTCCTTGCGAATCTCTCGACCACGACATGCCGGACGTGGAACAAGAGCCTCCCGCCGAAGACTTAGAAATGGCTAAAGCACGGCTACAGGCTAGAATTGAGCAAGGCGATGAATCTAAATCGACCGAACCCGAGGCTCAGGAGGGCGAGTCCAAGACTGAGGATAATGCCGCTGAAGTCGCCATGCAAACCCGGGCCATGCTGGATATGATTATTACGGTTGTCGGAGAGTACTATGGCCAGCGCGATTTACTTTTGGCCAGAGAACCCTGGAACGAGTCGACGACTTGGTTTTGAAAAGTTGATTATCCTTGTCCATAATCTATGAAGTACTTACTCGTCGGATGCTGTTTCCTGGCCGACGATCATTTAATCAGCGCTTATCAGTGGAAGGCGAAACAAACTGCATAAATAAGATACCCCAATCAATCGCCATTCACTGTTGAAAATGGGAATAAATCCATAATTTACATACAAACCATGGTATTCAGTAACAGTAAATCAAGCATACTGTATGACGAGTCAGTAAAACGGTGAGCCTTGCGTCATTACCGGTGAGGCACAAATTTATACGTTAAGAACTTTAAGTCCGGTGACTGACAAGCTTATCAGTCATACTCCCCGACTTTATTTCCTTCAAACCTCCGTCATTCTCCACCACCGCCAATCCATGGCGACAATCTCCTCTCAATCCACGAATCCCTCCCAAACACCCACTCCTTAACCGACAAACAAAGAACCCCAAGAAAAGAAGAAGAAAAAAAGAAAGCCCCCAAACGCATGGCCCCCTAAAAACCAAAAAAAGAATACAACAACAACAATGTCCCCAAACCTCGAAATCACAATCCCAACAACCAGTCTCTCCCCAACCTCACCCCCCTACACAGTCTATAACCTAACACTCCGCCTCCCACTTCGCTCCTTCACAATCTCCAAACGCTACTCAGACTTCCTCACCTTCCACAAAACCCTGGTAACACAAACTAACGCCGACCCACCGGCCCCCCTACCGTCAAAAACCTGGTTCAAAAACACCGTCTCAAATGCCTCTCTCCGCGAAGACCGCCGCCAAGCCCTAGAGGCCTATCTCCAGGCCATAAACAACGCCGAAGATGCCCGATGGCGTAACTCGCCCGCCTGGCGCGCATTCCTGAATCTGCCGTCGGCGGCGAACACTTCGCATACCTCAACGAGACTTCATGCGGCGATTACGGACCCCGGGAGTAACGGTGTGGGCGGGCCGAATAATCCTATCTCGGATCCGACGCTGTGGCTGGATGTGTATCGCGATATGAAGTCGCATTTGCATGATGCGAGGTTACATTTGACGCGGCGGGATCAGGAGACGACGCCGCAGAAGCAGCATGAGAGTTCGGCGCGTGCGAAGAGTAGTCTCGTGAGGGCGGGGAGTTTGATTGCGGCGTTGGAGGAAGGGTTGAAGGTTATGGGGGAGACGGCGAATCGTTCGCAGAGTCCTAGTGGGAGGGGAAGAGGTGGTTCGTTGGGGGATGGGGAGTTGCGGCGGAGGAAGGATCTTCTTATTAATGCGCGGAAGGAGAAGGATGGGTTGGAGGATCTGTTGAATGCTATGGCGGCTAAGAGTCGGGTGGATAATGCGGTGGCTTCGGCGCAGGATAAGGAGGCGCTGGTTGGGAGTGCGAGTAGGAAGCCCGCGAGGTCGGGGAGGGTGTTGGGGAAAGAGACGGAGAGGACGCGGGAACTGGATAACCAGGGAGTGCTGCAGTTGCAGAGGCAGACGATGGAAGACCAGGATCAGAGCGTGGAGGAGTTGTTGAAGATTATACGAAGGCAAAAGGAATTGGGCATTGCTATCAATGAGGAGGTGGAGATTCAGAATGCCCTTCTGTCGATAGCTAATGAGGATGCTGAACGGTATGTGGTTGCTTTGGTTTCCCTTCTACGGTTGGATTTCTCATTCTTTGACTAATGATTTAAACAGGGTAAACCGTAAAATCGATATTGGGAAGAAGAGGATAGGGAAGATATCCTAGTCGGGTCTATGCCCCTGTATCATTTTGTATCATTTAGAGCGTTCTGCAGGCATCCTACGCTTTGGCCTGGTTGGTCTACTCTAGCGAGCATGGGATTTGAAATGGGAGTTATGGCATTATTATAATGATATCGTTCACTTGTCATATCGATTGTCGTCCAGCCCAACCTGGAACCACCTGCTCAACATTCATTTTGCGGACATGAACTGCAAACCACAGTTAGTCTAGATCACTCCTTCATGTTACTGAGACTTACTTCTTTGGCCTCCGTATCGGTAACCCTAGATTGATCCGACTCGCGCTGAGTGACAAGTCCCAACTTGCTTCGTCGAATAAGCCACCACAACTCTTCTCGATCTCCTCCAAGCTTCTCCTGCAACAACTTATCTTTGAGCTGGCCCAGGAAGTCATTGTACGAGGTAGGCTCTTCGTAAGATACCAACTCATCACGCATCATTCCCAGCGCTTCAATGACCCGGTCGTAGTTAGCATCACCGAGACTGTGTTTGATTTGATCTTCAACGATGGTCATCATCTGCTTTGTAGCGTCTTTGATGGCCTCAATATTCTCGGCTTGTGCAAGAGTCTGCTTGAATTCGGGAATGGCATTGTTGGGAGATATCTTGGCGCGCTTTTCATGATGAAGCAGGGCGTCGACGTCGAGTCCAGAGAGGGGCTTCTCGGTTTCGCGAGTGCGCTTGCGGCCCTTCGCTTTGGGAGGAACTGGTAACAGAATTAGCAGCCTGACAGACTTGGCTGTGGGGGAATGTCCAACCCTTCTTAACATCGGCTATCTCGATCAATTTCTCTAGGTGTTTCTGCGATTTCTGAATGAGATCCTCTCGCAGATGTGAGAATTTTGTCAGTCTCTCTGAAGGAGGAGGTATGGGCTGGTCAGGATGTATGGCCCGAGCACGGATGGCGGTGTCAATCCGGTGCAAAACAGGCGAGTACAAGTCGTCGATAGGGAAGGTCTCCACTGGATTCCTGGTTTTGTCAACAAGAAGATATTTGGAATCCTTTGAGGCAAAAACCTACCCATCTTCATCTGTGTCGACAAGCTCCATACTATTCACGTACTTGCCCATCACATCGAGTAAATCGTCATTAGGAAGATTCCGATGTTGCGTCACAACCTTTCCAGAAACAGTAATCACCTTATCCAGAGGAGGGAAGCGATACGTTCGGACATCTTCCGCGAATGGTAACTGGACTTCGAGAAGGCACTCATAATCAGGCTCGATCGAGGGCGCGAGCAAGACTATAATTGGAGGTTTGTTCTCTTTCATAACTAGACGAGCAACAGCATAGCATTCTAGCTCAAAAAGCGCGTGTATAAAGGATGAAAGGGCAAGAGCTGCCTTGTCGTTGGCACGTTGTGCGATTATGATGTTTGTGTTGGACATGTGCATATAACGTTGATACTATTGTTGTGTCTTAGCGCATGCATCAAGGCGACTTCAGCAAGACATACCTGGTCTGTCTGGATGAAGCCCATCAACTCCATCCCTGCGAAAGTATCGAGTATCGTGATGTTCTCATCAGTTTCGCTAATGTGAACTGCTGTCCGTCCATACTCATATCCTTTGGCGAGGTCATCTCGTTCGATGTCGATTTTCCCACCCGGTGCACTTTTGTCTTCAACTTGATATGTTCTCATGGTTCTCACAGTCGTGAGTCCAGCATCACCAGACTGGCTCCCTTTTTGGGCAGCAGCAGCCTCAGATGAATCCGCCTCTTCCTGCCCAGCTTCAGGCTCTGAGCGCAGGACGAAAGAACTTGCGGTCGGCGGCTTGGCCGGGTAAGTCCGGTAGTACCTTTCGACAGGAATGCGGAGAGCAGAGTCATACTCCTCTGGGTTACCTAGTTGGAGATATCCTTTGAAGCTTGCCATTGACCTAACAGACTTGACACGGGGAATGTCCAATTCAGCCACAGCCTGCTCGAATGTTCCATAGACTCCATCACAATCTTCCACGAGGGTACGCAAGAGAGTTTCATTTTCGGCCTGTTTTGATCATTAGATAAGATTCAAGCTACGTGAGAGATATCGTTACCTTGCGAGGGTCTTTGTCTTCTTCCTTGTAACCATACTCAGGGTCATCGAAATCAATCCCCCTGCTTGAAGTTAACTTTTGTTTCGTTGCTGTTTTGTAGCAAACCACTGACATAACAACAAGTTCGATATTATCCTCCTTGACCTTTTTCACTATTTCGTCCAGGTCCTCATCGCTCATGCGCCCCTGTCCGTTGGTGACCAAGACGATCTTGCGCCTGTACTTCAACTTCTTGCAATGAGTGATGATCATCTGAATTGCCAAGATGATAGCAGAAATAGCTAGAAAACAAAGTTTAGTAAGTAGATAATAGATCCTAGTGGCCTACAACAAGCTTACCGTCTCCCTTGTCCGTTTTGCTCGGCTTCAATTCATCCTCCAGTTTTCGAATGTCCGGCATAAGAAACCTTGACGTCGTCAGTTTGGTGCACGAGCCAATCTATCATATCATGAAAAGCATACTGTTTGATGTTTGACAGAACTGAGATGTTAGAGAAATGCAAGTCATCTTCGAGTTCGTTGGACGTTTCTATTCTTTTCATCAGTGTATGAACCGCATACAATATTCAGAAGTATACATACCAACTGTCCTGAGTCCGATCACACCCATCATGGCAGTTTTACGGCCGGTGGCCACCTTATTTGGAATTGAGCAAGTTGTATAACAAATAAAGCTCCATTGCGGCGGATGGCACTCACTGTCCCTGTAATGCGGTCCCAGACATACTGCATGGCCCATTCAAAATCAGTCACTGAACGGCCATTGCGACATTCTGCCATGGACCTCCCAACGTCCACAATATACACAGTTGCTTCCTTGTCCGCCATTGTGAATTAGGTGCGGTCTAAATCATGAGACTATCCAAGAAAAGTCGACATTTAAACTAGATGTATAAGGCACAAGGCACCTTCCGCTAGGCGACACGATGACCAGGCAGACGCGTGATATTTCCCGTTTGGGTGAAGGCGGGACGCGAAGGCACATGACATCATGGACATACGGAAGGTGCGTCGAAAGAACAATTTCAGCATATAACGGTGCGTGGCATTATGGGTAAATCATCAAGTATTCAATATTGCTACATGGACAGTTAATGAGTCTTGTTTCATAATTTTATTTCATTGTACTATGTCTATAATATGGTATGATATCTCCGCTTTCTTTATCCTTTAACCCCAAGAGCAAAAACGCCGATCCTAAACCATAGGCAGTTTCGAACTGAGATCGTGACGGTCCTTATAAGCCTCGGTGATCTCTTCGAGGCATCCGGCAGCAGCGGCAAAGAAGCCCAAGAAGGTCTTGCTAGGCGCAAGAACTCGGCTCAGGTACTCGGGGTGGAACTGTACCCCGACGTACCACTTATGATCCTTCAACTCAATGACTTCCATACGCTCGCCGGCCTCGTCTTTTCCAATGAAGGACAGTCCACCCTGCTCCAGCTGGCCGATAAGCTCAGGGTTCACCTCATAACGATGGCGATGTCTCTCCCAAATCTCTTGCTTCTCCCCGTACAGCTTGCGCAAACGAGACCATTCGGTACCAGACTGGAACACAGTCGCCCGCTTTCCAAGGCGCATTGTACCACCCATCTTAGTCTTATCGATCTCAGGCATGTAGATAATAACAGGCTGCTCGCAGGTTTCATCGAACTCGGCGCTGTCTGCCTTATCCATACCGCAGACATGTCGAGCAAACTCGACCACAGCCAATTGCATACCAAGGCAAATACCAAGGTAGGGAACGTTGTTGGTACGGGCCCATTGGGCGGCCAAAACCATACCGGTCGTACCCCTCGAGCCAAAGCCACCGGGGACAAGAACCTATAAATGTCAGTATTTAGTAGACTTTGCCAGAAGGATAAAACTTACTCCGTTGGCGGTAGTCAAGTTATGCCACGCGGAATAGTATTCCGCAGGGCTGTTTGTCTTGTGCTCATCTTCCAGATGAGTCGATTCGATCCAGATCAGATTCAACTTCTTGCGGCAATGCATGGACGCCTTTCGTGGACAATTAGCATCGACACAACGTCTACATGGTAGCTCAAACTCACATGTTCCAGCGCCTTGCTCACACTCATATATGAGTCATGCAAGCTTGTGTATTTGCCAATCAAGGCAATCGTCACAGTCTCAAGGGAATGCACTTGGTTCATAGCCAAGCCTTGCCATTCCTGCCAGATGAGCTTACCATTGTCAACAAGCTTCTGATCCTTGGGGATAGAATCGGTTTTAAGGAGTTCACTAAGAGTGCTAAGGAATCCTTGTTGCGCCAGAAGGATAGGAACCTGATATGTGGTAGAGACGTTATGTACGCCAACAACCTGATTCCGTTCCACTTGGCAAGAATTGGCGATCTTTTGAATAGTTGCCTCCTCCAGGGGCGTCTCGCAGCGACATGCAATGATGTCAGGTCTGAGACCAGCACTACGGACATCACTGATGGCCCTCTGGGTAGGCTTGGTCTTCTGCTCCGAGCCAATTAGAGGAACATAGCTGACTTGGATTTGAAGAAAGTTGTCCTTGCCAACTCGTCTTTGGAGCTGAGCCATGGCTTCAACGAATGGTGCGCTCTCGATGTCTCCAACAGTACCGCCCAACTAGAAAATGCTAAATTAGTCTAAGATGCGATCGTTCGGTGTTTCCCTGTACTCACTTCAACTGATACATGAGTTAGCAAGCCCTAACATATTATTTGCTTGGGTGTACTTACTGATACAGACGTCAGGCTCCCTTCCAGACTCATCCACAGAAACCTTAGCGACCTTCTCAACCCACTACATATCACGTTAATGCACTTCCTAACTAAGTTAGGCTAAATTCTAGGACGTACGTTCTGGATTTCATTCGTCAGATGGGGGACGATCTGCACCGTCTTTCCAAGGTAATCTCCACGACGCTCCTTGGTGATGACATGGTGGTAGATCTTGCCAGTAGTGATATTGTTATCACCGCCAAGAGTAACGCCGAGATAGCGTTCATAGTTTCCAAGATCCAGATCTGTTTCTGCACCGTCATCGCAAACGAACACTTCACCGTGTCTTTTTATTCTGTCAATGAATGCAGGTATACGGGGGGGGATCAAGTGGGACTAACTCTAGAGGCTATATCGAAATCTATTAGCTTATACGGCGATTGAGATGTTCAAGAAGTTTGTAGACACTCACGTTCATAAGACCAGCATCGATATTAAGGTAGGGGTCGATCTTGATGGAAGAGACAGTCAAACCCGCTGTCTTGAAGAGCAACCCACAGCTGGAAGCGATAATGCCCTTGCCAACGCCGGAGATGACACCTGCAGAGGGCCGTTAAAAAAAGGACAGAAAAAGATAGATTGGAAAGCAATTACCTCCAGAAACCAGAACGTACTTCATTTTGCAGAATTTGAAAGTTAGCCCCCCTAGTAGAATACTAGGGAGGGGGGAAGAACAAAAAAAAGTGGGCGCGAATATCCGCTTTTGGTGACTCTATAGAAAAAAAATTCATAACTTACCTAATCAATCATGTGAGCGGTGAGGCGGACAAAGAGGGACGACGGGTGCGGAAAACTAAACGCTCCGCGTTTCCCTCTTACATCACCGACTCCCTCGGACCATCCATTGTTGATCCGAATACATACTCAACTGTTCCATTTTCCACTATGATTGACCCCCGTCCGTATCACATCTTAAGGTTAGTGTTTACAGGCATGCAATCTTCCTAGAAACCTCTTACTTATCGATCTTTCCAGCTATGGCACTTTACTTGGTGTCCAAGTGTATCAGGTACCATGATCATGCAACATCCAGCGCCATTGTCAGTCTAATTCTCAATTGAATAGACCTTCGTTTCCGGGATTGTAGCTTTTAGGGCCCTTCCCCGACCTCAGTTTGCTTCGTTGCAGACCGCCACATTCCCTATTTATTTCTCTCTTCAAACGGCACTTCCGGTGCTAGTTGCTTTGACAGCCAGCAATAATGGACAGTCGCTCGGCATCTCCGGACTTTTGGAGAACCCCAAGACTTTGGTCCCCATGGCCACGGCTGCTGTGACCGGACTTATTAACATGGTCGTGCTTCGCCCTCTGACTGTTAACACCATGCGTGAAAGAAAGCACCAGGGTAAGATCATCAGCTTCGTGATAACGAGGAACGTGCTGATTTAACTGCCCAGAAACCCGTGATGGCAAGAAGAGCTATGACCCTGCTCCCCACTCCAAGGAGATGGTGGCTCTTAACAAGCAGTTCGGCCGACTCCACGGCTTATCAAGCTTGATCAACCTGGTCTGTCTCGGTGCTACCATTTACTATGGTGCTATACTTGGCAAGCGACTGGCTTAAAGGACATGCCTTTGGGCGATTTGATCTGGCAATGTATTTTTCAGTGCTCCATGAGAGGTTGTTCTAGCCTCAATTTTTATTGTAAATAAAGAGATTCAGTCTCATAAGATTTGAGGCGATGCAAATATGTCCAATTGATGCATTATTATTCCGTATCAACACGTACACTACAGCTTAGTTACAGTTATAGAGCGTCTTTAGCAGCTAAAACGGTCCACACACACACAGGAGGGGAGAGAGAGAGGGAGGGAGAGTTTCTCAGTCTCTCTCCTTTTACCAACAGCTTCATAAGAACAATGGCTAATACTAGTAGTATATTGTAGGCCGGAAGCCCAGAGGCCAAGATAAACCTTAAACATGAAACAAGCCCTAAGTACCCAATTAGGTTAGCACAGTATCACCTGCCTAAGCCATGCTAAAGAAAGCTACATTCAAGATAGGTTAAACTCACCGAACATCAAGATAGCCAACTCATACCCATGATAACGAGCACGGAGCAAAGGTGACATGTTCTGGCCTCATTCCGAATGGATCTGGCCCCCAATCATCTCGGGCTTTGGCCCTTTCAATCTTAACTCCTTAAGTACAGTTAGGATAGCCAAGACCACGAGGTCAGTCCGGGTGCCCAATAACGTTCGTCGGCACCTGCGTAGCACGGACTAGCCTAGAAAATCTGGAGTCAGTCTTCGGTTGCTTCTCCCACTAGTCGTACTTGGGGATTCTTAATGCTCGAGCTATCGTTACTTTTTGCATATACTAGCCTGTGCTCTGATTGGCCCGCTCGCAAATGACATCATAAGAAAAGTGACTAACGATTTGGGGTTTAGCCTGATGTATTAAGCCGTCCAATGAAAGCCGTTGTCAAGATTTAATACTGTAGATGGCAGACGAACCAAACATTATGGATCGTTTAGTGAAATTGTCAGGCTATGAATAGATTTTCTTTTAGTCCATTGTCAATGGGGAGAGGGGTATAAATAAGAGTAGAAGGAGGAAGGTGATGGTGTTCAAGTAGAGTCTTTCGTTCTTCAAGTCACTCTTTCATCTTCAATTCAATTCACATATATATACATACTATTTCATTTGTGGAGCTCTTGAATACCATCTATTGAACTTTATCTTATATACAACAGTCCCTCTTTATAATCGTGAGTTATACTTCTCCTGGTCTGCGGCGCGTGTGGATTGAAGCTGATGAAATATCAATCATAGAACATGGGTCTTTCGTACGAAGCGATCGTCGTCATCGTCCTCATTGGCTGCATCGCTGCTGTCCTTATCGGTTATTCCGTACACTCTCTCGCAACCAACGGGTTCCAGGATGATGAACAAAAGCTTGAAATACCATATGAACAAAAGAAATATATGCGGGAACACCGGCTACGCAACTTACACTGGCTCGCTCGGGAAGCCCGTGGTGGAAGAGGTGATCGAGACGTTGAATCGGCCTTTTCTATTAGCGAGGAACATCATGTCTGAGTTGGCAGTGGTGTAAGAAATGGATTATTTCTT